TTTAGTTATATTATACTATAATAGTTTCTTAGCTTATTACTTACTATTAGAGAGTTATTATAAGTATTATCTATATATGCTATTATTCTATGCAGAGAACTAGAGTTAGTAGGCATATAAACTCTTATATAAGTATGCAGTAAAAGAATATAAATATCTTTTATAGAAGTAGTGCGTAGTAAAGATTAAAGTTCTAGTATATCTCTAAAGAGAAAAAAAGTATATCTATTATATTCTCTTGCATAATATAGATATACATAAATTAAGATATTTAAGATATAATATTTTGCTATATATAAACTATAGCCTTTAAAGTATTATATAGAAAGTATAGTTTAGATTTCTTTTTATTATCTAGTATAGCAATATACTTAAGCGTCTTCTTCTATATTTTAAAGCTACTAAAAATCTATAGAAACTTAGTATACGCAATCTATAGATTAGTCTTAACTAATAGTATATTTAAAATAGCTCTTAGGCGCTCTGCGCATTTCTCTTTAGCTTACTATAATACCTCTTATAGTTATATTTATAGTAGAGCGTTAGTAGCTAAGTTAGATTAATTAAGACTCTTATTCTTAGAGTTAGATATACTAAATTTATAGTTTAAGAGCATAGTAGAGTTATTATTTATACTATTAGTTATTAGTGCTAGTACTTTAAAGTAATAAATAAGAGTATAGTTAGTAGTAGCTCTACTACTAATACTCTAGAAGAAGTATTAGCTATAGATTATAGAAACGTTACTATTATACTATTACTTTTAGTTTAGTAAATTATCTTCTAATATATATTATAGCCTATATTCTTTATAGAGATAGTTAACTAAGTTCTGCTTAGCAGACTTACTATAGTTAATATGCCTATATGCGTTATATTAATATAATTCTTTATAGAGTTTTAACTCTAGGTACGCAGAAATAGCTTCTATATACTAAGAGAAATCTAAGTATTCTTGCTTTAAGAGTATATCTTCTACTAGTTATTAAATATAAGCTTTAATAAATTAACGTTATTATAGCGTTATATTATCTTAGTAGTTATTATAGAAGTAGTATTTAATACTATATAGTAAAAGAGCATATTAGTAAATAGCATATATAATAATTCTATATTAGTAGTTAATAATAAAGTAATTAGGATAAGATATAATAGTCTAGTATTTAATAGTATTAGTAGCATCTATAGTATTTTAACTTCTATCTATAGTAAAAATCTATTACTATGCTAATTTTAGCTAGTTAGTATTATAGTCTTTGCTAACGCAGACGTAACTTTAGTAGCTTTATACTATATATATCTTTAGCTTATATGCTTTATAATACTATCTTCTATTCTAAGGTTAATACTAACTTTATCTAAGAGAAATAAAGAGATATATATATTACTTTATAATACTTTATTAGAGTTTAGATTAGATATACTAATTTATATAGTGCTAGAGAGCTATAGTAAGCCTACGCATGCGTTTATTTTGCTAATACTAGAAACTGCACTATACTAGATTTACTAGCGCATTAATAAGCATTAGCTTATGCGCTTTATTAATAATATATATAATAACTCTATTAATAAGATTATAGTTCTAGATAATAATAGTATATCTAATAATGTAATAGCTAGCTATAAAGCATATATCTAAGTCTAAGCTCTACGTATCTACTAAATAAACGTATTTACTAAAAAAAATATCTATAAGATAAGCTAATAAATAGTTAAAGAATAAACTAGATAGCACTATTATATAAACTATAGTAAGTATATAAGATTAAGTAAGTGCAAAGTAAGATAAGATATTATATAGTAACTAGAAATAAAAGTATTATAAGTTTGCGTAGAAGTTACTAGATATAGGTATTAAGATAGTTAGAAATATAATAAATAAGGCTATAGTAATTAGAATAACAGACTACTTAAAGAACTAGCAGTTAATATTAGAAGTATAGAGATCTTAGCATTTTACTAGAAAACGTCTATTCTCTAGAGTTAAAGGCAAGCTTTCTATAATTTATATCTATAATAATTCTAGTAATAAAGTAGAAAGTAATTCTTTTAGTATCTATCTATAAAGTTAACTAGTATTATCTTAGCAATAAAGTAATAAAGTTAGTAGTTTATATTTAAGTCGTGCTAAGATAGATAAATTTACAGATTTATTTAACGCTGCTAGAAGAAGTTAGATAGTTAGTATTATTAAGAATATATAATATTAATAGATCTTAGCTACTATATATATATAGTATAAGACTCTAGTTATATTAGTCTAAAAGTAGGCAAACTTAATAAGTAGTAAAAGTAGAGAGTTTATAATAGTAGTAAAAGAGCAGTTATTTAGATCTATATATTAGAGCTAAGAGAGTAAGCACGTAATACTAAAAGAGAATCTCTTTAATTAGAAAACGTTTAGATAGATTCTAGAGAATAGGCAGCAATAGTCTATACTAAAAGACTAGTTTAGTATTAGTATTTTTACTTTGCTACTATAAAGTATAGTATTAAACTACTTTATAGAATAAAGTCTACTAATAATAAGGTTTCTTTAATAGATTAAGATAGTATAGTTATATAATATAACTATTAAACTAGTATTATAATATATTAAGAATATATATATATCTTATATAATAGATAGCGCTCTGCTTCTATCTTTATAATTAGAAGAGGTAACTAAGAATAAGTTAGTAATTAGAGACTCTGCAGAATTTCTTTTATCTATTAGTAATAGTTAATAATTAGTTAAGAAAGTTAAAGATAGTAATAATATTAGCGCAATATAGTATAGTATAAATATATAGGTTATTAGAGATAGTATTATTATTTAATAATAGTTTATATTAAGAGAGAAGAAAGATAGGCAGAGTTATTCTACTTTTCTTTAATATTACTATAATAAGACCTAGAATATCTCTAATAACCTCTTATAATATATTAGCAGTAGCTATACTCTACTTATATATAATTTTAGCTACTAAAAGATATTAAAATACTTAACTCTATTAAAATATTGCTTAACTCTGCTATAATATTACTTAACTCTACTATAATATTGCTTAACTCTACTATAATATCGCTTAACTCTTAGGTATATATAAGCTAGCTTAGCACTATTATTAACTTAATATTAGAAATCTTAATATATATAGGTTATGCGCTACGTACAGAGCAGGCTAGGTATTATATTATTAATATTATTAGCAAATACATATCGTAGAAATAGCGCGTATATGCTTCTTTTAATACTCTTTGCAAGCGTTAAGAGAAGGCAAAGGTAGCTATATTATATATTCTACTACTATACAGCTATATAATAGTTTAGAAAACTACGCTAGTTCTAAAGCATATTAATTTAGAAGTAGTACTATACTAGACTATAATAGAGAAGAATTAGCATCTAATTTACATTATATATACGCTTCTTTAGGCTAGTGTATATAATAACCTAATTAAGAAGAATTAGAGCTTAATACTATAGTGCATTATATACTAGGCTTAAGAGGCTAGAGCTAACTAAGCCTTAAGTATAAATATCTAGTAATTACTACTATAGCTTAGTAGCGATTTATCTCTAGTCTTATAGATAATATATACTTATATCTGTTATTACTATGCATCTAGTATATAATAAAAAGTAGCTTGCTTATTTATATAGCTTGCTAATCTATAAGGTATATTAATACTTAATCTTAGATCTTATATATTATCTCTAATGCTTCTAGTAAGTAGACCTATATTATAAAAGAATAGTAGAAACATAGAAAAATATAGTACAAGCAAACTCTCTAGCTCTAATTAGCTGCATTCGAATCAACCCGCTACGTCATACAGTCTCCTACCAGTCTGCCCCCCTGCTTCCTCAACGCAGTGTTCCTATCACATCCATCGATTATCTTCCTGAATTCGGCTTTGCACGTCTCCGCATCGACTTTCCACTGACACCCCTCGTAGACCTCGACGCTCCATTTGACCTCGATCGGAACGACTTCGTCACGCGTGTCGCAGCACGGAAACGCTGTGCGCAGTACCGTGGAAAAGTACTTGCTTTTCATGGTCTTTTTGTCTTTCGAGTCGCACCAGTCGTACACGGGCTTGGTGAGGTGGCCGCGGTTCGCAACTTGGCCCGAGTCGTAGCATTTTACTTCGTCCTTGTCGAAATTGGGTGTTTTTGGGGGTGTCGTGGTGGGTTCTGGATCCTTTGTGACTGTGGTTGTAGTGGTGGAGGGCTCAGGCTGTGCGGTCTTTGTTATGACTGTGAACACGGTGGTCGTGCCGCCGCCTGGAGTGGTCGTGGTCGTGGTTGTGCTGGGCTTTGGGTCAGAGCCGCCCGGCGAGTCGTCGTTGGGATCGTCGACGTTCGCGGGGCAAGTGAGTTCCTCTTCTTCGGTTTGTTCTTCTTCTTCTGGGACAAGCGGGTCACCAGGGAAGGTTGGAAAGGGGTCAAAGGGGTTGGGGGCACCTGTGCCGCCTGGGCTGGGTGGCCGACTACCGGGCGGCAAGCATGTCAAAGCTGGGAAGGCGCATGGTGTCACGGTAGGTTTTGGCTGGCCCCAATTGATGGTCAGACTCGGTAAGACGATGGGAGGTGGTGGACCTGGACAAAAGGCCAGGGACAGGGTTTCCCGGCCACCGCCTCCCCCAGGAACGTCTGTGGGATCGGTACCGGGAGGTTTGGTTCCGCCGGTGCACTAATCGAAGGTGGCTGGGATGTCCTCACTGTAACGCCTGTCCTGTAATATACTGCAGGCCACGAAGGTCGTTGTGCTCAGCCTCACGGAGGACGTGCGCCTATTGCTGTTGTTGTCGGTTGAGCAGGAAGTCGTGCAGCTTGCGCCGTTGTCAATGACGATGGTGGAGGGCTCCCATCGACTTATAGTCAAGGGTGGAAAGGTAAGAGTGGTCTTGATAGTATTGTCCTCGGTCACGGTGATGCGCGGGTAGTCGATGGTAGTGGTATAAGATGGCCACGGCGGGAGAACAAAGGTGCACGGGAAGAAGCACTGTACTTGTGGATTCGGTTCGTTCCAAATGTCTGGGGATAGCCAAATCAGACTTGATGAGTTGGAGTTCTGATCGTCGCCCTCTCCTTCATGCAACGGGGTGCCAGGAGCGATTACAAAGGGCTGAGTAAATGTAGTCCCGCGAGGAATAATGGTTTCCCGTGGAAGTGGCTGGTTAGCAGGAACAGTATTGCCGCTGGGATCCCTGAAGGACTGGCTCGGGATGAAACCAGCGGGTAGAGGGATATCCAGAGGTGTCGGTACGCCGGCTGGTATCATGATGGGGTTACTGACGGAGCCTCCCGTGCCACAACAGGTGGATGTGATCAAGCGGAAAAAGCTACACTGACTGCACTTATCGGACCCTGGCCCGCTTGGAACGTTCTGGGCGCCTCTATTGGGTAGACGTGGGATGTCTGTTGCGGCACCAGAGCCGAGCGTAAACATTTGACCTGCAGGCACTGTCGTGTGCGACATAGGAATGACGGTTGCGGACTCGGGTGATTTGTATTCGTTTGGATCGTCCAGACCAATGCCGCCACCTGTTGAGTCATCAAAGTCAATGGACCAGATCATGATGCCGCCCTACAAACAAGATTAGCAACTATATCTAGCACACTGCGAGGCAAATGAACATACCAAGCACCTATCGTTAGCGAAGGCTTCTTTCATCGCATACGTCTCAGCGTCGTCGTAACCAACCCAGCTGTCGCCTGCATACTTGAAGTACTTGACCATGGCAGTGGTGTTGAAATACGGAGTGATGCCCTCATCTTTGATAATCCTTCGGATTTCAAGATTGGAGAGTACACCTGGGAAGGCTGTGCAGGAACCTGCTGCGCCCGCGGAGCCGCCAATGAACCGGCAACCCATCTTATCGCATGAGGGATCTACCAGTTGATAAGTCCGACCATAGTACGCGATACCAAAGTTGACCTTTGCTGGATCGACACCATCGAACTAGAGCGGCTTTAAGTTCTTGTCAATCTCAGTAATGTCCGTCTGTGGCCGCACGATGGACCCAAGGGTTTTGACATCTTGATCCCAAGGACCATGGAGATCGTAACTAAGCTCGATGATTAGTACGAGATCAGCACAGGAGCAGCTCTTTCGTTCTCACCTCATGAAACCCATGAAGTCAACATAATCTTGCATTGCAGCTGGTTTGAAGCCTAAACATCGATATCATCAGCTTGTGTCACGTCTTAGGCATACAAGTTTGCGGTAGAACGGCTTACCGCGAAGATACCTAATGTCAAGTTAGCTACCACGTCTTATGTTGCACACCGATCGAAGATACTTACCAGTAGTCAGGCGCGATAGTCAAGCTACTACCATAGCGGCCAGCGAACGCAGCATGCATTTCCTTCATGAGCAATACGAGGTTATCGGTGTCCTCCTTTCGTCCTCCCCGCTTTGGCTCTGCTGGGTACTCCCAGTCAATATCTGCGCCTTGGAAGCCATAAGTATCCATAAAATGGATGAGGGAGCTGACGAAGGCAGCACGATTTCCCTGGGTTGATACCATGTCGGAATAGGCATTATAGGTTTTGGTGCCTGGATCGTTGAAGGACCACTGTCGTGTGTTAGTATCGACTCTGAAAAGAGTTGCAGGAGACAAGCGTCACTATACGTGACTGACAACCAGAAAGTAGGCAAGTTTCCATGAGGTAAAGGATGTAGACTTACTCCGCCAATTGCGATCCAAGTCTGTAGCCCATTGCGCTTCAAAGATGTGAACTCCCCATATATAGGAATATCTCCATCATTCATTGGCATGATCTCGAATGTCGTTGGGTGAAAGAAAGCAAACGAGTAGAAAAGATGGGTGAGGCCTCGGGTGTTGATTTGGCGAGGCGCAACTTTGTCGCACTTTCGTTCTCTTGTATTCCATCCCTGATAATAGCCAATTCGGCGGCCTTTGGCGGTACCAGAGGACTTCCCACATGATGGAGAAGGTTTGATATCACATGACCCAAAGCCAGCCTGACAAGGCGTTTTACCTACAATTGATAAGCAGTGGCATCAAAGATCGCGCCGAGTGTGTCTTGTAGCACTTACCATACTGCGGCTCGGGATCTTTACAATGTACATCTTCTGTACCACACCAGCCGTAGAAAGAGCAACATAATTTCAAGCCGCATGAAGTCTGTCCATCAGCTGAGTCGATGCCACACATTGCTTTCGCGTCGCAGTTGGAGATACACTTCTCGCCACAATTGTACGATTTGAAACCACATTTACCTAGAATTTGAGCGACGGGGTTAGTATGTGACTCGAGCAAGGATGAGAAGTGGATTCTAAATACCATCAGAGTTGCCTAGAAAAGACGTTCATGTTAGCACAATTCCTGGATATATGACAAGGGGCATACGTACAGCAGGAGCCGTCAAGACAAGGCTTTCCTGGTCCGCACTGCATGGGACCTTCAACTGCCTGTCTCTTTGTGAGTGCGCCACTTTGGTGCATTTGATGATGAGATGAGCGACGCCATGTCGCAGCTGAGCCTGTCTCGTTGAGTAATCTTGTCCCATTGACCGAACCTATAGAGTTTCGAGTACTATTACCGCTCAGTTGACCAAGAATGTACTGTTCACTGAGACCAATAATGTCGATCATGTCTGATTGTGGTTGTCGTTGAGTCTGGAAATCGTAGGTGGTGAGAGACTCATCGACATCACCCGCGGTGATGTTCCAACTGGTCACGTTCTTCTCCACAGAGCTAGAAGTGTTGAATGGTGTTGCTCCAACAGTGAATCCAGAGGAGCCGGCTGCCATGGCCGAAAGAGTAGCACTAGCCGCTGCTGGAGCAAGGACATCGTCTGTGTCGCCGAAGCTGACGGACTGTGTCGATCCATTGACCACAGTCATGGATAACTTCACAGCCGCATTTAGCGCCGTCGTGTCTCCCGCAGTGATGACCTCACCGCTCGGCATCTCTATGATAGGCTCCGTACTGTTATCATCCATGACAAAACCAGCGTACACCTACACGTATCGAAGCTATTAGCATCTATTCGATAGAAATGAAGGCAAATACATACCCATCCAGCATCTACAAGATCCGCTGTACTCAGATTGTCCGCAAAGGTCAGTTTCGCGGCAGCCGACGTATTGGTGCTGGGAACATTGATTGTTTCGCCCGATCGGCGCCGGAACCCGCCTTTGCCTTGAAACTGCTCCGCTCCAGCGGCGTCGAGGAAATAGACGCGTGCTCCATGTCGTTGTGCTACGGCTTTAGCTCCATCCAAGAGCCTGAACCGAAAAGCTATGCCATCTTCTTGTGTGGGGTTCACCTTAGGTGACTGGGCTTGAAAATGGTTAAATAAAATCCGGGCCAAAGAGGCATGTATCAGTCCTTGCCAATTCTGTTCGGATCCAATATTACCGCATCTGTTGGAGATTGGTGCGCAATAAGTAGTGCCGGTACTGCCGTCTCCTTCGGGATTTCCTTGTCTAGCACAAGGTCAGTCAAGAGTGCGCTTGGCGATGAGCATACGAAAGACTAACCCTGCCGTGCCAACTCCGCCTTCGATCCAAGAGGCTTTAAGATAGAAGACCCTAAATCAGTCTACATCCTGAAGTTTTCTAATAGTTGCCATCTTACCTGGGGGGAATTCGTCGCAACTATAGCTTCTGCCAGATCGTCTCCTGCTTTGAGTCGGGTTTTGCGGATTGGATGACCAATACATGATCTCCAAGTTGGCCTTCTTGAGAGGCTCGCTGAGATCTTGTGGAACAATATCTGTTATTGGTTGTCCTGTGAGCCCGTTGGCCCAAAGTGGCACTACGTTAGGTTGATTGGGCTCAGGACATCTGGGAGCTGCGCGTGTGCCGGCCCAAGTTTCTTTAGGACATTGGAATTCGCGCCGGATATCAGCTCTGCTAGTCAACCCTGTGAATCCTGGAAATCTTTGTTGTGCTCTTTGACCAAAGTCGAAAGTGAACCATCCTGCTTGTCTTCCAGCCCAGGTGGATTTCGATGCGTCTGCTTCCCAGTTACGGACATTCTGGCAGATGGCCGGCATTTTATTGCAATTGTATTCCAGGATGATATCAGTTGCAGGGATAAGCACTTGCCTCAAACCCTTGATGGCTTCGCGGTGCCAGAAAGGTGTTGGGACATAGACATCGCTGTTTGGGGCTTGTAAGTTCTGCCATGTCCATCGTTGGATGAACTGTTTATTGGACACAACCCAAGAGGACCAATACGAGCGTAGAAAGAAAGCGAAGCATCGCTACGATGTACAAAGAGGGGAAGTATGTCTGACACTATTTTGCATGCTGATTCAGTAGACTTATAACATCAACGAAACTATGCCCAGGTATGGTACGCTGTATAACTTTTTGCAACACCCTTGCACAAGGTATGTGCTCAATGGCGGAATGTTTCGCCTGCGCTACGAATTCCATCTCCGGTACGCCTCGTGGTAGCTCAATACATCTGTAGGTTACCGCGCTATCATACGGAGGAAGAGCCTCATCTGGTTAGCAAGACTGAGTCCAACTGCTACAGCATAGACCAGCGTAGAGCGTACGCTAGATTGGATCAAGCCAACGTCGGTAGGGTCCATGGCTGGCCTTACAGGCGGTGGGTCAAGGGACGGGCCGATATAGCCCATATTATGACTATTTTTGGACCAAGCAACATGTGGACTGCAGAACTGCCGCTCTCGAGAAACCGGTCCATGGTACGTTCCGCTTCAGAATCACCACAACTAGCCTCCAAATCAGGAGACTAGCCGATGCTTGAATGACTGCCAAGCCCAAGGCCTCTCTTTGCGCGATATAAGGCTAAATGTCTCCTGTCATCTACATGGCCGCGGCATCGACTTAGGCAGGAAAGTGAACTTTCGCTGTTGGCGCTAACTCTGCTTGGTCTTGGTGAGCTGCTACGGCCTGTTTCTCCTTTCCCAAAACGAATCTACCGATTCTCCATTATTTCCCTCAACGAAAAGAACCACGTGAATACTGTATTCGTCCTGGTCGATTTGGTTGATGATAGCCCTATCGAAAAAGACTCGACTTCCTTCTGGGATATTGCCGCTTCGAAGAAAATGACTGAACTCCGGGTCCTCTCCAGAGCCATCTGCCCAGTCCCTGTCATCATCGTCAGGGACGACTTCCGCCGCTTTGACACCGTCGCCCAAGTCCACCGGGTTCATGTACAGTTCGTCTTCGCATTGCATAATCTCTTCCTTATTGGCATTGAGGTATGAGTGGACTTGCGAGACAAAATCATGCAAGGATATAGGAGAGCCATCCTCCTTGTCGATGATCAGCGGCTCTGGGGCAGCGTATCGGTCTTCCTCCTCGTGCTCGTCCATGTTGTGCTTCTCCTCGCAGACGTCGATGTAGACCGAGATGTTGGTGAATGGGGGGCTTGCCAAGGACTCTGAGGCGATGCTGGCGTCCATGAAGGGCGTGAGATAATTTCCAGGATCTTTGACTTGGATGTCGTTTAACGAGCCGAAAACGTCCCAACGGAGTCGTTCTAACAGGTCATCTCGGAGTCGGTCAAGGTAATGCACCACCGGCGGATCAGGCGTATCCTCGCGGTCTACCTCGTTAGGCAGGCTAGGCTTCATTACGAAGAGAAATGAAAAAGCAGATGGGGCGGAAAATTGCAGTTGGGCGTGAAGAGATTGAATGGTTCTCGGTGAGAGCGTGGGTAGTGGTTCGAGCGCTAAATGTGCTAGCGGCTAATTTATCAGCCCGCACCCAGTTTTTCCTACACCTAGCTAGCGCGCCTCGTGTTATTCGTTAAGCCCCAGCCTAGGTTCGGAGATTCTCAATGGCCCAGATGGTGGTCTAGTCTCTTGGTCTCCTCGACGATGCGAGAAAAATTGTACCTGCATATTGCGGCACAGCACGATGTTCCCGTTGCGGAAGGTGCCTATGGACGCTGGTGGCTGTTCGACCCTGATTTTGATCTTCCATGCAGACCAGCTGCAAACATCCGACTTGATACCCGTGCGTTTCGATAATCATGTGAAGTGGGTTCGTGATCTTAGTGGGTCAGCATCAACTCATTTGCGTATGCAACACTCGGGGCGAAAGCGTAGGGGTGGGCACATCGGCTGCACAACTAGTACAGTACGCCTTGCACGGCTCAAGCTACTCCGACGGGATGAGAAGAAAGATAACATGCGCAATGGACTGCACTCTGCTTCCTCGAACAACCCAGCTTTTCATGCTCCCTCGCTCAGTATCTGTTAGCTATGTGGTCTGTACTTTCTGTTGGTGTGATTGCAATTCGACTCGCGACCACGGCTGTTGAAGCTGCTGTTGCACCAGGTGAAGTGAATTGTCGCTACACTACAACATCTAGCGCGAGTGTAAACTACTATACATGCACCGAGTTGGCGGACTGGTACTACATAACAGTTGAGCAATTCTTCTTGTGGAACCCGACCGTGAACAAGGAATGCTCCAATGTTAAGCCGAACACCGAGTATTGCGTTGATGGCTGTAAGTCCACACCCTTCCTAGAACGAGTGGAATGCATATTAATTCAACTCTTCATGTAGTCATTCAGCCGGCTCTATCGACCGATGGTTTGTGTGGTCCACAAAACGGCAACACATCATGTATCGAAACTGATATGCCATGCTGCAATGGCGAGACGTGGAAATGCGGTAATCTGTAAACAGACGCGCATCAAATCTTTTACTTGACTACATGCTGACTCAACCACAGCGATTCATGTCTTCCTGGAACATGCTATTCTGGTGCCTGCTTAGGCTTTCCTTCGGAGTATTCCATGGATGGCAAGTGCGGGTACGTAAAATCTCACATATGCTCAACCGCCATGTCAAAGGCATGTCAGCCTATATCTTAGAGAAGATTGTCGTCGATGAAAGAGCTATATCGTTAATCACCCACGTGCTCTGCTGACGTTAATCAACCATCAAGATCACAAAATAAGAACCTCAAGTGCGGCGGCAAATGGGGCTCCTGCTGTAGCGCCGCCGGCAAGTGCGGTACGGGTGAAGAATTCTGTGGTGTGAACAAGTGCCAGAGTGGCAACTGTACGATGATCATTCCATCATGGACACCTCCCGAAGTGTCTTCCACATCAATGCCTGTTGCTGTTCCCACGCCGACAGCTGGGTCCATCAGCCCCGACGGTAGCTGCGGGTTCGTAAAGACCATCATAAAACACCTCAACGTAGATGCTAACCGAGATAGCGGGACCAACAAATTCGTATGCAAGGGCTCCAAGTTCGGAGATTGCTGTAGCTCCTCTGGCTTCTGTGGATCTACTACTGCTCATTGTGTGTATCTTCCAGTTAAGCAGTGCATCGACCTTCACTAACCGGTCTATCTTACAACTAGGTACTGCTGGTTGTCAAGCATCCTTTGGAAATTGCACCAGCACAGACATCTCACCGGACGGCACTTGTAAGTCCTCGAAACAATTACTATGAGAAGTCTGAGCGAGCTCATGATTGACTTTCCATCCTAGGTGGTGGTACCAACAAATACAAGTGTAAAGGATCGGCCTTTGGCGACTGCTGCAGCTCCTCTGGATATTGCGGTTCTTCGACCACCCACTGTAAGTATATTTCGGCTCTGGGTATACATTTACACATTGAAACTGACGAAATTGCAGGCTCGACTGCTGGTTGCCAGACTGGGTTTGGCACTTGCACCGGGACCTCTCTCTCGCCCGACGGTACGTAGCCTCCCGCGTTATGTACCTCAACGCTATATCACATGGTCTTAACACAGCTCGTGTGGTCTTGTGAAGATTGATACGGCGCCGCTGAAGCACGCGAAACGGATCCCCATGTTGCAACGAGGAACTTCACTGACCAATCAATCCTTCCAGGTACATGTGGTGGCAGTAAAAAGTACCAATGTAAAGGCTCTGGTTACGGCGACTGTTGCTCATCTTCAGGATATTGCGGCTCAACAAGTGGTCACTGTACCGCAGGCTGCCAGGGCTCATTCGGGACCTGCACAGTCACTGACATCTCGCCCGACGGTACCTGCGGTAAGCATTCCCCCAACCTTAAAAAAAGAGGATAAACAAACACATAGTGTATAAAAATTATACTAATCTCCCACGCAGGTGGAACGAACAAGTACAAATGCAAAGGCAGTCCCTTCGGTAACTGCTGCAGTTCATCCGGGTATTGCGGCGACACGACTGCGCACTGTCAAGCAGGTTGCCAATCACAATTCGGGACCTGCTCTGCTACGGCATCAACAACCAAACCATCATCCCCAACCCGGTGTATCGACAGATGGCACATGTGGCGGCTCCAAAGGGCCTCAAGTGTCAAGGGCAGCCCGTTCGGAAACTGTTGCAGCTCAGGTGGATATTGCGGCGATACTGTTCAACACTGCGCACAAGGCTGGTACGTTTCCGACCACTCTATTGAATCCATATCTCCTAACTCCAAGATAGTCAGAAATCATTCTCAAGGCGCTTGTCTTACAGCAAACGTCCCCACTCTCAACGGAGACTGCGGCGATAGTAAAGGCGGGTACACCTGTGCCAACGGTCCTTTCAATGGCCAATGCTGCTCTACCGGAGGCTTCTGCGGGTGAGTACTTGTCTCTATGATCTGCTGATAGAATTTTGCTAACGTCGTCTCTTCCATGTAGATCGACTGATACCCATTGCAAATCAGGATGGTAAGCTCTCCACCCATACATTAACTCAAGTCCGTCCGGCACCTGACAGTCCACAGTCAAAAAGGTTATGGTGCTTGCAAATAGTCTACATGCGCATATTGGATTGTTTCTACACAGCTGGAAGCACAGCTGTAATGTAGATATCATAATAACACTGACGTGCATTCCAACCCTAACCCTGACGCGTCATTTTGATGACCAAAACGCCGTTTCTCGAGTTATTGGTGTGGCTGAACCTAGCGGGTGAGACCAGCTCCTCGATTTCGTGATTCCCCCAAAGTTCAAGAATCATTACACATTTGTTGAGAACATAGTCACACAGCGCCTAGAAGAGAAGCGAAAGCGCGAGAAGGAGAATACACCAATCGAAAGAGAAGACACGCTTCACTTTTTATGCAGCGCGAAAGACCCCGACACCGGTGCACCAGCTTTTGGCCGAAGAGACCTGCTGGGAGAAGCCAATCTCCTAATCATGGCGGGCTCGGATACGACGTCTATTACGATAAGCAGCTTGTTGGTCTACCTCACGCATAATCGGCGCGCATATCTGAAGCTGATCGAAGAGATCAGGGACATGTTCCTTAGTGCTGAAGACATTGTCCATGGTCCCAAGTTATTGACCGACTGCAAGTACTTGCGAGCTTGTATCGACAAGACGTCGTGCGTCTCTCCTGCAGGTCCGATCCAACTTGCGAGAGAGGTTTTAGCAGGAGGCACGTCTATCAATGGCGAGCATTATTCAGCCGGTGTTGTCCTCGGTACGCCTAATTGGGCCATGGGACGAAATGAAGCGCACTACGGGGACGCGTACACCTTCGGACCCGAGCAATGGGTAGTATCGGATGAGTTGGAATCTTTTGTCGCTGACGACGTGCGCAGGCTGATACGTAGCCTTCATACCTTCTTCAAGAGACCTGGAGATTGTGTGGGGTAGAAGCTGGCTATGCTGCAGATGTCCATCGTGGTTGTGAGGACACTATGGCGTGTGGATGTGAGACTGGCTCCGGGCGCGGATGTAAGTGCGGCAAATGCGAAGCTGAGATGGTGTCAAAGAGATCCTAGGCAGTATGTTGTAGGTGATGCTTACATTGCGTTGCATCAAGGACTCGTAGAGCAGGTTAGAACACGAAAAAACTGAGGCAAGTGCGATAATGCGCTCAAGGTAGCGGTGGAGCTCGCGTGGGTCATGAAATGTGGCTCACACCATGACGCTTTGACGATGGTAAACGCGACACAAGATGAAGAGGTAGGTAGTGCGCAGGATATTTGCGTAGTTCGCGAGTTCAGAGCTGCTGATTTCCGTCTTCAGGGCCTTTGTAATAGTGTACTTCCCTCCCACATTCGTCTTCAACGGTTCCCGTGTACACCTTTCCGTCCACTTTGAAAGCAGCACCATTCTCAACCCTCAGCGCCACTTCGCCGCCACTTCTCGCCGTGACTGTGGCTTGCGTCATAGACCCTCCACTCCAATCAATATCCACCACAAAATTGCCTCGCGCAACAAGACCTTTCACACTACCCTTCGGAATCGCTGATTTGGGTAATGCGGGCAAAATATGCACGACTGAATGACTTTGCAACAACATTTCTGCGATGGCGGAGGTAAAGCCAAAGTTTCCGTCGATTTGGAACCATCTGTTCTCGCCGGAGTTCCACAAGTTATCCAGTGTGTATGTCTGCAGAAACGTGACGGCGTTGGACCAAACGTTTGCACCGTCTAACAATCGTGCGTAGAGATTCATGGCCCACACGCGCGACCACCCTGTGCTTCCAGAGCCAGCGCGCATACGATTGTCGAGTGCGACCTTAGAAGCCTGCGCCAACGTTTCGGACACGAGCGGTGTCATCTGTGAGCCAGGGAACAGGCCAAAGAGATGGCTGAAATGTCGGTGCGCCGGCTCGCCTTCCTTGTATTCGTTGCGCCACTCGAGAAGCTGACCTTTTGAGCCAATTTTTGGTTCCTTAATCTTGGACAAGTAATCTTTGGCCTTGGAGACGGTGATGTCCGTGATCCCCAAAGCTTTACCAGCGCTGATGACGTTATTGAACAATTCCCAGAGAAGCTCATTGTCCATTGTGGGGGCTATATCGACACCCTCCGTCTTTCCTGCGGTTCGCATGTTTGACGGAACGACGAACGTGTTCTCGGGCGACAGCGACGGTCCTGTGACATAGCTGCCATTGTACATGAACAAATAGCAGTAGTAGAAGTTCGCGGCATCCTTCAACACTGGCCAGGCGCGGTTCTGAAGGAAGTTCTTGTCCTGTGTGAAACGGTAGTGCTCCATGAGATGCTGTGATAACCATGCTCCTCCCATGGGCCATACCGTATACGGCGTACCCTTGTCGACTGGAGCTGCATCACCCCACAGGTCTGTGTTGTGATGTACAACAAATCCATCGTTACAGCCGTACATTTTCTTCGCCATGGCTCTACCTTGAGCGCGAGTCATATCTACGAGATCGAATAGCGGCTTGTGAGTTTCGTCCAAGTTGGTCGTAAGGGCGTGCCAGTAGTTCATCTCGGTGTTGATATTCACGGTATACTTACTTTGCCATGGAGGGTCGTAGTTGTCATTCCAAATACCCTGGAGATTGGCGGGCAAGGATCGATCGCCAGTATCGCGTGAAGATGCAAGAAGCAGATGGCGACCGTAATTGAAGTACAGAGTAACCAATTCAGGATCAGCGCCGGCGTTCTTTTTGTAGTTTGAGAGGCGAGAAGGGATGGGCTGTGTGCCAGCAGAGCCGGATGAACCAAGGTTAATATTGACGCGCGACAGTATTCCTTCGGCGTCTTTGACAGCAGCGGTCTTCACGGCATTATAGCCAGCTTTGACCGCGTTGTCAAGTTTGTTTTTTAACTCTAATTCCCATGCGCTCGCACTTCCATAACGATAGGATGTCTCCGCGTCGAAAAATATGTCTACTATTGTAGCTCCCTTGACCGACATTGTCTTTTCGTTGACAGAAATAGAGCCTGCATGGAATCAGTGGTGAAGCTTCAGCGAGTACACGGACCGAGCAAACCTGTATCACTGACAACCCTCGCTTCTGCGGTGAACGGAATGCCACCATTCCCCTTCAGCGTGATCGAATTGATGTTGCCAGAAGATGACGCGGCGTTCGAAGCTACATTCTGGCTCCTTGCGAGCGCAATATCCACATTCAGCTTCCCGGCTTGATTTGCCATCATCCTAAAAGCAAGTACACCTGCCGGGTAGCTCGCTACATACTCGCGCCTGAAGCTTGTCAGATGCGCTGCTCCCATGAGGCTGCACAAACTTACGTATAGTTCACCCCGCCAAGGATATAGGTGGTCATCGCTGTGCCTTGCCGAGTGTCCAGGATTCTTGTGTAGCTGCCCAAGGTACCACTGTGGCCAAAGTCAATGGTCATATCCACTGTTGGGTGGTACTGTTTCGGGCTCTGTGGGTTTCCAGCCATTGCATCAAGGGTCTGTTGTCCGGCGCTTGACATATCTCCATCCATCAACTTCTGTCGGATGGAAGATAGTGCGTTCAACGATTGCGAGTTGCCACGATCCTGCCATTGCCCACTCCATACTGAATTTTCGTTGATTGTAATCCTCTCCAATGTGGTGCCGTAAGCAGCTGCAGCAACGCGACCATTGCCGATAGGCAATGACGAAGACAGGCTGCTCCCTGGCGTGTTGAAGTAGAGGTAACGAGATGCGTCCCGTTGCGCGTGTGTTAAGGTCACGACAATGAAGGAAGTGACGTAAGTATACACACGCATCTTGACGAATCCGCCGCAACTTCGAGTGGTGTTTGCGATGAGGTAGCAGAGGCACTGTCATGATATATGCCAGTTTCCAGATCACGAGTCGCAGTTGAATATGATGTGAATACAGTGCTACTGAGGGGTATGCGAGATGTTCCTCCAGTCGGGATCCAAGGTCCGCCGCGTGAAGAGTTTCTGGTTAAATAAACTTCGGCTAAACCGCTCGCGTAGTTCTCGCTATGCAGGTACGATCATACACCTATATTGAGGCTAAACCCCAAACCTCATGCTTGCTGAAGAACAATGCAACGCAGCAGTGTGACGTGCGTAAATTGAGGCGCTGTCCTAAGTTTTATGGTTACATGTGTGATTGTTCACATCGCTTACACACATCGTTTAACACACCAGGTGGCTTCCCATAAGTTCGAAAAACGATGAACAGGAGATTTAACAGGAGATTTGGCTCTAGTTTGCTTAGATTTTTGGTGCCTATGTGAAGAAGTAATACAGCTAGCAAACAGACATGTCGTTACAAATCTTTATCTGCTAAATTCCAGATTTTGAAAACGCTCAAAACTGCTTACAGGAATCTTGAGAAAAGGTGGAAACTGGACTTGATCCCCTTGGAAGTGTCTATGGCAACAGAGCACTGGGACGATGATCGATTTTTCTTGACCAGAACTGCTCAATACTCAGATGGATTGGCGTACACACCTCAATGTGACCCCGGCCGTACTCTCACGCTTTTCTCTTCTTCGTTATTGTTAGGTCATTTTACTACTTTGATTTCAAGAGTGTGCAAGTATCCCAAGCGCAGTTTTTAGGAGTCAGCATTTGCAGTTATAATCTCGATACTAACCTGCGATTCGACAACGTCCACCTCGATGGCGAGTATGTTCGCAACCCTGATGAATCGCTGACAAGATATCACACGTCTTGACAAGGACCTATCTACGAGCTAGAACTCGGTTTCGCGAACGAAGTCGCCTCTCGTGCCACGACGTGCCCAATCTGCCATCTCATCGCCTATATACACACAAAATCTCAAAAACTAAAGGTATCCTACAAGTCAGCAGCACTACTCCGGGCCTAAGATGCTCTCATAGTCCTCTGGAAAAAATGCTTTCCGTGGCACGATCGTTGATCAGTCCACAGACATTGATAATGCCTTTGGAGGAGTCATGGGGGCGATATTGGAAGAGTTTGTCTGGGGATTTCCATGCTCCAGATTCGGCAAATATCTCATGTGGAATGCGTATAAACCTGCGCGCGGTCATGCTTGAATACAAACACAAGCTAAGTATACTAGGAATATGAATGAGAGGCGGCACTCTTGATTGCAAATATCGAGCTGGTCGTGGCTTGCATAGAGAGCTCATATTATGCTGGCGCTATCAAATATCACCAGCTCTGTCTTCAATGCATTACATGAGGTTTACCCAGGTTATCTGGGATGACGAATTGGAATGGACTGTTAGTCTAGATGACTGACCTAAGGGCGTTGTTCTAAACAAGGAAAATGTCATGTTTTGGGCGTGGGTCATACCGAGCGGGACTGGAGGACAGGATGAACAAGCTATTATCGGTTATGACCCTCGTGATTCCAGGATGGGTAGAACGAAGGGCTTTTTATGGACCTTGGATATCATGTGGAACCATCACATTGCGCAGCGGGTTGCGTCGAACACATTTGAGATCAAAGACAGCCGGTTGACGGGGGTAATTCTAATAATCTGGCTGTCAGCCGCAGCATTTGCGGAATCCGCAGAAAAGTATGCCAGCAATACTTAGTCCAACATTCATTTTCTATACGAGCATGGCAGCTATTATCAGAACAAGAAGCAGAGCTTGTAGAGTACGTTGATAGGCTGACAAAGGAAGTCTCCAAGCCGTGGAATAATTCGCAGGTTTGCTGCTCAGATCGCTAGACGAAACAGATCCCAGCGCTTCATGGAGCAAAGTATCTCCAGCCAGGTGCGGCGTTGTCGTAGAAACGCGCTATATCCAAGGAACACAACTTCATCCTTACTTCAGAGCGCAGAGCTCAGGCGAAGGATATGAAGCCTCGAGCTGTGCTCTCCGCGAGGCAGCAGTCGGTTCTATTTACATAAAGTATTTGTGATGCTCATTCAAGTTAGGAGGGAGCACCAAACTACCGACACGTGATCTGCTTCTTCTCAAAACCGTCGTATATACCCTACCTCTACAAGGCGCCAAGTTATGCTGCTCCACGTGAACATCTCTTTCTATCACGGAACGGCTCTATTCTCGCGTCGCCGATATTTGGTCTAGGTTCTCCGCTATACGCAATAGACAGTAACAGAAGGCAACTCACCCGAGTGGTAGCTGATAGCTCGATCCTGCTCCGAGTTGCTGCTGTGCCGCCTCTAGCACTAAAACGGAAGCTATACCGGTAAGTTAGCGTTAACTATAGTGCCTCACAAACCAATACTGAAGCATAACCTCTGCAGAACGTACTCCACCGCGTATACCATGCATCCATCGGTCGTATTTCGGTCGTGCGCTCCTTCCCGCTTGAGCCTCTTCAGCCTCAAACTGCAGGGTATCCCCGGACATCGTTCTGTTTTGGACATCGTCCCAGGCGGGGATTGTATAGTCGGGCCTATGTGCGATGCAGCTGCTTCGGAGCGACCTGTATGTAGAGAAGAAAGCAGGCACTGTCCGGTATGGTTTGTAATATCTCCGCATTTTTGGACCTGCAGTTTCTGGTCTGAATCGCGCGGCTGTACTTATATACTGTTCACTTCGTGTGTTTTCTCTCGTCTTCCTTCACCACAGCCTGCCATGTTGCCTCTACTCATTGCCTCCGCTCTCGCGGCCCACCCAGACCCTCGCGTACGAGCAAACCCTCGGTTTCAACAGCGCTCCTATTGTCGAAACGCGCTCTCTTGACCAGATCTACCATGCTGCATTGGCCGAAGGCGGCGTCGTCACCATGTGGCTCGGCGGCGACGAGAAGGGCGACGAAGACGCCGTTAAGAAAGAATTTGAAGGAAAGTTTCCTGGAATGAAGCTTAATCTCACCACCGATCTGTCAAAATATCACAACGGCAGGTTTGACGAGCAGTTGGCTGCGGGGCACGTGTATGTCGATAGTATTGCTTTTCAGACCGTGCACGATTTTCCTAGGTGGGAGGAGCAGGGTGCATTGTTACACTATGCGCCAGTCGGTTTCGACAAGATCTACCCGCCGATGAGGGATGTGCGCGCGGCATACTATGGTATTCTGACGGTAGGGTGGGCGGGCAAGTGGAACACCGATAAACTGCCTGGTATTGCAGCGCCTATTGAGTGGGAGGATTGGTTACGGCCGGAGTTCAAGAACAAGCTTGTTCTGACATATCCTAACGACGATGACGCGGTGCTATATGCTTTCGATCTTATGTACAGCTTCCGTTCCTCTCTATACTCTAAAATGAGAGTCAGCTAACGTCCAGTGTCTAGTATGCAACAGTACGGCAAATCGTGGTTCGAACGCTTGCTCCAGCAGAATCCTCGATGGGTCAGAGGTACCCGCACACCTGATACCGTCATGCAAGCCAGCAACAGTTCGTGGGCTGCCTCATTCACGTCAGATGGTTTATTCCCAACGTCAAACATCAACGTCAGCCACCCCGTGCAGGGCTCCTTCGTGACCTGGTTCCAACTTGCTGCCATCCCCAAGGATGCGCCTCATCCCGAGGGAGCCAAGTTGCTCCACAACTACATGCTCACCAAAGAGTGGCAGGCAACTCGCGGTTCTTGGCCTGTCCGTAGCGATGTTGCGCCTCCAACTGGCTATCCTGCCATCTTCGAAATGCCCGGCACGAATATTACGTACTTTCGCGAGTGGATGTCCGACCGGGCTAAGGTTGAGAGACTGAGGACTTGGTTTGAGGACAAACTTGGTTCGGCGCAGGGACTTAGTCCGCTTATTGATGGAATCTAAATACCCCTGTCCGTAACCTCAAGGGTGTCGGTTTTCCCGAGCCCGTCCTTGGCTCAGCGATCCCAAAAGTATATAGTCTGAATTATCATCTGGACTTCTTGGGCAGTAATCTGATCAATTATCTCACAATCAAAGTTCGCTCACCTTCAAGAGATGTTTTATGTCGAACTACGAGAGGATTCCAAACTTTTGATTGTTTATTAATAGCTCTAATAGTCGTAGAGATGCAAGCCTTTAAAGTTGTTGCGACAGGCTTGTGCCTAGTTGTTGGCCCCGGCCGAAGGTCCTCGGAATCGAGCCGAAACTAAGGCTGAGCCTAACCGGGGTTAGGCTCGGCTTTAGTACAAATTCCAACGCAATTCCATATATTCTTAGGTAGCTAATTCACCTTGATTATTCTCAGCAACAGTCTCTTGATCAACCCGTTACAATTACAGGTAAAGGAACACTTAAAACTTAGAGATCCTTAGTATTTTCTTTCAGTATTCTAACAATAAAATCCGAAATCCTAATACGCTACATTGTGCAGAAGTACACAAGAATTTTAGAATTATAACTGGATCATCCTGGAATGATTGGCGCTCCATAAGTAAAATCGATCGACTCTGTCGGCAACTGCCTATCTTCTGACATGTTGAGCCGGCTAGAGGCGCGAGAATGGTCGGAGAGATTGAGGAATAGGTTGAGTCGATGGATGGACGTGTTATGCATTGAAACTGTGTATCGTGCCGAACATCTATTTGCTCCTCTTGTAAATCTTCTTGAGGAATGCCTCAAATACCTCTTTCTTCAGTCCCTCGGACTCATCTACCTTCTCGATCTTAGACCGGATGTCCGAAACGCGCTCCTCCTCCCACTGCTCGTAGAACTCGGCCAACTTAAGCTCGTGGTACAGCTCCTTCACCTTGGCTTCCTTCTGCGAATCCTTCTGGCCGTAGTTCTCCTCAAGAACCTTGCGCTGCTCAGGAGTGACCTTCTTCAGGGCCTGGTTGATCAGCCACGAGCACTTGTTGTCTTGGATGTCTGTGCCGATCTTGCCGAGAACCTTGGGGTCGGCGAAGGCATCGAGGTAGTCGTCCTGTGCCTGGAAGTACTCGCCCATGGGGATGAGGATATCGTGGGCAGTCTGGAGGTTCTTTGGGGTAGCAGCACCGACGTAATACAGTGCAAGAGCAACAGGTAGGTAGAAGGAGTAGTAGGCAGTCTTGTAGATGACGATGAAGCTGAACTTGTCCAGGCTAAAGTTGTCGAGGTTGACGTTGTCCTCAGGGGCGGTGATCAAGTCGCACAGCTGGCCGCACTCGGTCTGGAAAGTGACTTCGTGGAACAGCTCAACCATGTCGATGTAGCTCTTCTCTTGGCGGAAGTGCTTCTTGAGGAGCAGGTAGATGGCGGACTCGAGCATAAAGGCGTCGTTGATGGCAATCATGCCGACTTTGGGTGCCAGATACCAGCACGGGCTACCACGGCGGGTCTTGGATGAGTCCATGATGTCGTCGGACACGAGGAAGAAGGCCTGGAGCAGCTCGATCATCCATCCTAGCAGTGCTGGGCGGAAGTAGTCCTCAGATGCTGGGTCGAGCGTCTTGTTGGTGAGGATGGCAGCCGTGTCAATGACTGACATCCCGCGGTTGCATTTTCCCCCTACGGTGTTGTAGTCGAGCGACTATGACGGAACATGAGCATGTTGGTGTCAGGGGGGCCCTGCGGGGGTGCTAAGTACCTTTGTGAACCAATCAAGAGACTCCTGGGGTAGCTTGTACTGCTGGCAGTGAGCCTGCAGGTCAGCCCTTATGCGCGGCCAGACGCTCTCGAATTCCTGCAGCGTGGTCGGCATCTTGGGTTGAATTGTGCTGTGGTTTTCAGGGCAAGCCGTGCCGTAGCAATTGATGATATGCAGGGACGAAGAGGAGGGGGTCTTGTACACAGGCCAGGCGGTGAAAGAAGTAATTTCCGCGGCGAAGGGGCCTGTGCGCACGTCTGTTTGTGCCCCACAGTGCAGCGCGAGGAAGGCAGCCAAGCGACAACGCGCGCGTGAAGCTAGGTAGACGACATCGCCATCGTCCACTGCCTCTACAAGAACCGTGTTAGGCCGACTCGATGCGATAGTCGCACGTGATCCCAGCCGAGACGTCGACATGAGCTCCCTCTCTCCGGCCGACGAGGCGCAATTGAAGGCACAGCTGCAAGACGCGGTTGTCGCGTGCACCGAGCGCTGCCTGTACCACTCGGCGAAATGGTGCGTCGATGACAGGGCAATTGATGGAGCTGGTATGGTGCTGGATGCTGATGTTGACAAGGGCTGCAGAACTGCTCAACTCGCTGCCCGCCTCCGAGGATGACGCCTCTGACACTGACGTCGACTCGCCCATGTCAGAGGCTCTTCCACCACACACGCCGAACCCTGCCCCCAAAGACGCCATTGAGCAGCGGCTCGAGGCTCGAGAGGCGCACAAATATCTCCTTGCGAAGACGTACTTTGACTGCCGGGAATACGATCGATGCGCCGCCGTCTTCCTCCCTGGCCCTCTCCCCAAGGCCCATGCCCACGCAACACCAACATCTCCCCTCGCCAAGAACAAGCATGCCGCGAAAGGAAAGGCAAAGACGGGTACCCCCACCAAGACCAAGTTTCAGTCTGAGTCGGTCGCTGGACTGAGCCAGAAGTCACTGTTCCTTGCACTCTACGCCAAATACATCGCCGGCGAGAAGCGCATGAACGAGGACAGCGAGATGATACTGGGCCCGCAGGACGGCGGTGTCACGCTGAACAAGGAGCTGCCGGGCATATCGGCGATCCTCGAGGAATGGTTCAAGGCTCTACCCGCCAGCGGACGGCAACCCCAGGGCTGGCTCGAGTACCTCTACGGCATCGTCCTCGCAAAGGGCAAGAACGAGAAGCTGGGCCAAGGACTTCCTCATCCAGAGCATCCATCAGTGCACATTCAACTGGGGCGCCTGGCAGGAGTTGATGGCTCTGCTACACACGATCGAAGACCTCGGCGAGGTAGTTCCCTTGCTACCGCAGAATCTCATGGCTTTCATCTTCCATGTGCACGCCTCGCAGGAGCTGTACGCCGTCACCGACTCGGTCCACACACAGCTGTCCCAGATTCTGTCCATCTTCCCTGAAGTCAGCGTTCCTCAAGACACAGCGTGCTCTGCTGCACTACCACAACAAGGACTTCGACGATGCCGAGCAGATATTCTCCGACCTGCTCATCTCCGATCCGCACCGCGTCGACCATCTCGACAATTACTCCAACATCCTCTATGTCATGGGCATGCGGCCGAAGCTTGCCTTCTTGGCCCAACTCGCGACGTCGACCGACAAGTTCCGCCCCGAAACGTGCTGTGTTGTTGGCAACTACTACTCGCTCAAGTCCGAGCATGAAAAGGCCGTCATGTACTTTCGCCGAGCCTTAACGTTGGATCGCACATTCCTCTCTGCCTGGACGCTGATGGGCCACGAGTTTGTCGAGATGAAGAACACACATGCGGCCATCGAATCGTACCGGCGGGCCGTGGACGTAAACCGCAGAGACTACCGCGCATGGTACGGACTTGGCCAGACATACGAGGTTATGGAGATGCATTCATACGCACTCTTCTACCATCAGCGCGCAGCTGCTCTCCGACCCTACGACCCCAAACTCTGGATGGCTGTTGGACAGTGCTTTGGCAAGGTCGGCAAGAACATGAACGGAATTCGGGCATACAAGCGTGCGCTGGTTGCCGGCTCCTATTACGACCACGGCGTGGGTTCGTCCTTTGGCAGCGGCGAAGTCTCCGGTCTCGGCGGTGGCGTTCTCGATCCAGAAGTGCTGTACCAAATCGCGCTACTCTACGAGCGCATACACAACATGGCCGAATGCGCGTCGTACATGGAGCTTGTGCTCGCGCAGGAAGACGGCCCAGAGTACGACGAGGTTGGGTCTGAGGGTACTGGTGGTGTTGGTGTGACAGCAACCACGAGCAAAGCTAGGCTGTGGCTTGCAAGATGGGAATATATGCGTGGTATGTATCAGCGAGCCATGGAGCTGGCAAATGAATTGTGCCAGGACGGCGTGGAGGTGGAAGATGCAAAGGCGCTTGTACGGGACATTAGGGCGAGGCAAGACAGCCAACGAGGTGATGCGGGTGCTTGATCAGCGGTGAAGTAATATAGGCGTAAAAGGTATGATACCCAAGAAAGAGTTGGCTCCTACATGTAGACGTTTTACCTCTCATTTCACAGACTCACTTGAATCCCTCGTCTCACACTTCACTGAGTAGTGATGATTGCGACGCTGGCCACGAAGAAGCCGTTCTTGAATGTTTACGAATACAAAACTTCTCTTACGTTCACGCTCCGTACTCGTTTCCACAACTTCCTCCACCGTACCCAGCAACATTTCGCACAACAAACCAACACTGCTTGGGAGCAATTCTTCCAAGCTGTCTGCATACATCATTCGCCATGCCACAACATCCCTGGCCGATAGCATATATCGAATCCCTTTCTAACTATGAATGTATGGACGCCTACGACGAAATCAACGATGAACTAGAAAATCGTCCCGTCACGACCACGGCACGCGACAGAGCCCTTTGCCTAACCCTTCAGCGCCTTGATGTCTACGGCGGGCGAAGACGCATTAGATGGCGACGCCCTCTCCTGCCACATATATCTGTCTACTTTAGAGGACTTCCACCGCTTTTCATTGAGCCGCCTGCCCGTCAAATAGTGATAGTGGGTCAAGGTCCACCGCAACAGCTTCAGAATGAAGGACAAGCGCCACAGCAACAGGTGGTGAACTACCAACAAGCAGCAGCACGCATCCAGCCACCACCACCAAAACAGCTGACAGCTCCTCCACAGCAGCCACAGTGGATCAATTATCAGCAAGCTCCGGCTCCGAACCAGCCACCTCCAGTGAAACCAAAGCCGAACTCTGTACAAGCTCCCACTCCGAATCAGCCACCACCTCAACGATCACAACCTAGTTATCAACCTGCTCCAGCTCCAAATCAAGCACTGCCACCACGGCCACAAGCTACTTATCAACAACCTCATGCTCCCGTGCAACCACTACAACCAAACTATCGACAAGCTCCTCCACCTCCGCATCAAATTAACTATCATCCGGCCCCCATTCAGAATCAGCCACCACCGCAAAGACCGCAGCCCAACTATCAGCAAGTCCAAGCACCACGTCAACCCAGTCATTTCCAGCATCCACCCAACATGCAGCCTCCGCCAGGACAACGAGGTGAGCTTCAAATTGCTGGATCTGGTGCATTCGTTCCTGGCTCAAATGTCCCCGAGAGCGAGCGGATCGCCACCGAGAATAAGATGAAGGCCGAAGCCCTGAAGACTGCAGCCGAGCAGCAAAGGAAGCGGGATGCGGACGCTAAGGTTACCGAATCCAAGCGACAACAAGAAGTTATCAAACAGCGAATCAAGGACGAAGCAGACCGCAAGGCCGAGCGAGAGAGGCACGAGAAGGAAGTCAAAGAGCGAGCAAAGATCGACAAGGAGTTATTCCGCAGGCAAGAGCTGGAGGCTGAGGAAGCGAAGTTACGAGAACAGGAGGATAAAAGGGTGCGTGAGGCGTGGGAAGCTCAGCAGAAAGCAAACCGTGAGCTCCTACGCAAGACAGAGGCTGATGAGAAGAAGCATCGCGACAAGATACTTCAGCTCGAACTGGATGGGATTAAGCTGCAAAAGGAGAGAGCCAAACGAGCAACTCAAGACGCACTCGATGAAGTTGCCCGTTTGGAGCGAGAGACGCGCGAAATGCAACTCGCGGCGGAGGACGAAGAGGATGACAATAGCGACCGGAAAGATCGCCAGCGAAGGGATAGACTAAGGAAGCGGCGCGAGGCTGACGAGCGGGATTGGGAGGAGGAGAAGAGACGAAAAGAGCGTATCGAAGATAGAGATGCGGGTGGGCAACGAATGATCAAAACCAGAAGCCCCAGTCCGAAGCCACGAGAGCGGAGGACTCGCGAGAGGTCATACAACCGCGACGCATCCAGTAGCCGCGAAAGATCTTACACTCGCGTAATCCGCGACAAATCTACCACTCGCGACAAATACAGCACTCTTGACCCCAAACCTTCATCCACCAGCACCACTTCATCATCCTCGTTCAACCCCTACACCGCCCTCGACCTTTCCTACAAAGACCGCCCCACCACCGCCGAAATCAAAGACGCATACCACCGCATGTCGCTCAAATACCACCCGGACCGCAACCCAGGGCCCGAGGGCGTTAAGCGCATGGCAGACGTCAATCGCGCCAAGGAGATACTCATGTCGGGTGAGGAGCGCAGGCAAGCTTACGATGAAGCGGCCGGTGACGTGTATACTTGGCAGTACGATAAGTGGATGGCGCGGAGAAGTGTGGTTGTTGGGTTTGAGGGGAGGGGTGGTGGTGGGCAAGGCCGTGAGAAGGACCGGCGGGAGAGTGGTTCGCGCCAACGGTCGCAGGACAGGGATAGGGACGGAGGCAGGGACAGAGGCAAGGACCGTCAACGGTCGAAGTCACAGGAGCGGAGTCGCAGGTGATGGAGTAAGTTGTTCCGTGCTTGTCTAGTAGGTAGAGCTGAAATCAGAAATAAAGCTCGAATTAGAACTCCCTAGATTCCTTTCCGGTTAGTAGGTCGGTGTGCAGGCCCAAGTACAGCAACATGTTGATCGAAAAGTTTGCCCAGTAAGGCTGAGCCCACGCGCGTCCGTCTCTAAACTTAGAAGTCGATCAGATCTACCAAGATCTTGGATGCTCGTTGTGTGATGGGAAAGTCTGACGGGTGCGACAAGGCGCTAGCTAAGAATGCCAGCTTACACTCGTGACGTTGCGATCGAGGTGGCGCAGCGGTTTTCTACCAAGAGAACATAAGCAACAGAGTAAGCAGACTAGTTTTCTGGGGGAATGTGTAAGACGCGTAAGCGAATAAGGCCGGCTTGTGTAGAACGAGGGAACAAATGTGATTGGACGTATGCCGACTAATTTTCGACAATTTGGGATCGTTGGGGGGAGATGTTTAGACCTCCAGGATACATTCGAGTATGTGCAAGTCGAATGGTTGGTGATTCTTTGCGCAGTGTTCGGCCGGACTTGTTGATGTGCTGAGTCAGAGAGTGTACAAGATGCGCTTACTCGACATGCGCCGAACGGTCAAGATGTTGAAAGGTGATCTGTACTCGAGTCTCGCCTGGTCGGTCAGGCATATCATCACGAGACTGTGTGTAGATGAGATTGGCTTACTACAAACGCGTAGAGCGGTCAAGATGTCGGAAGGCATGTTGCACTCGCCTGGTCGGCCAGACTTGTCATCGCGAGGCTGTGTGGATATGAGATGGGCTTACAATAGATGCGCCGAATACTCCAGAGATAGAAAGCAAAGTCGTAGTCATCGGAGGCTTGGAGAGGCCGCTTTTCGGGATCATCAAGGAGGAGGTGTCTTGGGAAATCGGAGTGGCGCCGACGAAAATGCGATCAAATCGAGTGTCGTTGTGATTGTCTTGGAGAGGACGAATAAAGTCGCGACCGATTGGCATACCCAGGAAAGAGGACCGATTTTGGAAAGTCATGGTGCTATTGCGCTAACAAAAAGTCGGTCAGGCGGAGTGCAGTGATGAATGTCTTGGTCAGGAACATCATCGGGATGACTAGCATCACCAAGAAGAGGATAGATCTTGGAGGATCATGGCTGTGTTGGGATTATGAGACACGATGAAGGTGCAATGATTAAAACTTGAACTCTGAACAATATTCGGATGGAAAGTGTGGTATCTAGTACAGCGCAAAGCGACTCTGGGAGTCGCGCAATGATGATGCTAATAATGACAATGAGATGCACAAGCACCTGAAGATCGAGGTCGTGATTCGTGATTGATGACTTTCGTGCTGCTGTTTGGGTGTCAGCTGTGCACTTGCACATGCGTTGCAATCTAGCATACTGGAAGTCGGGTCTTCATGACGGCGATCGCTTAGCCGGTGGTGCAGGTGCAGCCTTTCCTCTTCTCGATCTCCGTAGAAGGCCAACCCACGCAAATGCGGTTGCCGCAGTTGGTACCACTGGCACCGCAGTTGTCCCTGGAGCAAGGCCCGTTGTAGCCGAGTGGGAGAGGGTCTGGCATCGCAGTGACGATGCTAGCAAGGAGTGTTGCGACGATGATGGAGAAACGCATTGTGATTGTTGAGGCTATGAAGATGTGAAGATGTGAGGGTGAGACAATGTGAAGACTTGGAGATTTGGAGTTGTGAATGTGTGAGAGTTGGTGATGTGTGAATAGAGACAGAGTCGTCGCGGAGAGAACCCTTTATATGCACTCTCAACGGCTATGTGTAACATTGACAGGTGCCATTCATTTGCAAACCACAGCCCAATGCAATGACCGCATCCAAAGCGGTAACATCGACTCGGATCCCCTGCGAACAAGGGTGTCATCCAAGCATTAGCCCAGGGACTAGAGAGACTGACAAGACGGGATTTGCGCAGGCCTGTGTGTTCCGCCTCGTTATGACGCAGCTTCCGTCGCTGATGGGCGGAGTGTTTGATCACGGAAGGAACGTGCAGTGCCAAATATGGTGTTTCTCTCGTTGGCGACTGTACCGACGAAACGACATGGCGACGTTTGGTCGGTGGATCTGGGCGGGCTTTGGAATGTTTGTAAGGCTCCATGTTTTCATTGCCGTGCGCCATGCCCTTGGCTTCTTGGCAAATGTAAGAAACTTGGACGGTCCGAAACACCTCGTCACTAACATGAAGATCATGCAGCGATCCAGTACGTTTTGGAATCTTGGAGCCCATGTGGAGTCGACACGAATCTGACACTGACAAAGACGAGGCGCAGAGCGGAAAGGAGGGACAAGGAGAGGGGTGGAAAAAGAAAATCGCCAAGAGAAGACTGCAAAGGGGCGCAATTGTACGTACATATGCACGCAATGTACGTGGCTGTGTGAATGACGATCAGGAGTAATTTAGTTGGACGGTCACAGGTGGTACAGGCGGTAAACACCCAAGGTTGTTGGCATTTATCCTGCCTCAGGCAAGGGAAAAAGACGGAAAGAGACAAGGTCGTCTGCCGTGTGTCGAGCAGAGTGCTGCCCGCATGCTGACGTGGTAGAATGATTAGGTTCGTTATGGCTCTATGCGGAGATACGGACATATTGCTGTGCGATGTATGCGGCTTCGTTTGTGCAGGCGACCCTGCCAATCGCAGCCCGCGAGCAGAAAACTGTCATTCGTGGGGGCAAAGTCACGATAAGTGAAGTTTGCGGGCCAATCAGAATGGGCGGAGCATGAGCGACAGTCACTGGCCAATGGAAGGCGACCAAACATTTCTGTTTCAGCAGCTTGGGTGAAGGAGGAATGGTTGGCCAGTGGCCAGCACTGAGGAGCACGGCCAGCAGGCGTCAAGCAGCGCGTTAGGTCAGCGCGTCATTAACGCCGGCGCTAGTGACTATCTCCAGGCTGCCTTCACTCGCCGTTCCCCGCAATCATCATCGACTCCACGTGGAATCTGACCAAACAACAACAAAACATGGCGAACGACAATGACGACAACTCGCGACGCACTCGCGAGCGCCCCGAAGACAATCCGTTCATCGCATTCCGCCGCTTCGCCGATTCTCAGGGTCGCGTCACTTATGAACACCGTCTTCACACTTCCCGCCACCATCGCCAACTACAACAACGTGCATCAGGCGCGCAAAGCCTGCCTCTTCAAAAAGGCAGACCAGGCGCAATGCGATAGGCTGCAGGAGATTGAGGGCCAAATTGCCGGCCTACGAAACGAGGGGCGAGAGCTGTACCGCGTTGGCGACCTGCAGCAGGTGCTGAGGAAGAGCGAGGAGCTGATGAAGCTCGACCGCCATGCCGATGAGTTGAGAAAAGACATCGTCGGAAAGAGCGACGAGGGCGAAGACTCGACGGAGCTAGTGCACAGAGTGGCGAACAAGAAGGGCCAGGAGTGGGGATGGGACTGGAGCTGGGGGTTCCCGAAGCCTTTCGACGACGACCGCGACGTCTCCAATTCGACATCCCCATCTGGGCGCGGTCAGGCGCTCGATTATCTCCATCAATTCGAAAGAGAATCGAAGCGAATCTTCGGCGAAGACGCGTACGACGAAGCTATGGATGCTGCTTGGACTGCGATGCAATCGAGTCCAATACTGCGCGGCCTCGTTAGCGATAAGGAGCTGGAACTCATGCAGGGATTGATATACCGCTCTCGCCCATACGCCCCGCAGGCGCTGGAGTCGGATAGCCAGATGCAGCACGCTGGCGTGAATTGGCGGGAGGCATATGAGGACCTTGTGCGTACGCAGGAGGAAGAGAACAGGGCCAGGACACGTGAACTTCGCAGCAAGGCCATGAAAGATGATCGGTACCGGTCTTACCCAAAGCAGGTACCTTGGACAGACGAGGAACACGATGACGAACCCAGCTACGAGTACTCGCACGATCACGAAGACCAGCATGACGACCCACCTACACCAAAGATGAAGCACGGCGACAGTTTCACGGAATGGTGCAAATATGCACCTGAGCAGAGCGCTTCCGACAAGCGGGTTATTGCCAAGTTCCTGTCGGTAGAGCAGCGGGAAAATGATCGATGGCTGGGTACGCGCGGGTCGGAATCTACTAATGATTGGTGCGATCCTGCTCAAGAACAGAATGCTTCTGATAAGCGCGACATTCAGAAGTTCTTGGCACACCAGCAGCAGAACGGACGAGAACTTGCTCTCAGAGAGTCACTAGAGACAACTGAGACGGAACTCGACGCCTACGAGCAGCTGCTTGAGAAACCGAAGGGCTTCGATTATGTAAAAGCAGCACCGAGCAGCGACAGCAAACCATCAATCCTTTCGACACTCACTACAACCGAACGAACGGTCGCACCTGATGGCAGTGTAACGACCAAAGTGGTGCTGAAGAAGCGCTTCGCCGACGGTCGCGAGGAGAGCTCCGAGACTGTACATACACAACGCGGGCAAGAGCCAGAGCCGTGGGCCACGAGGCAGACACCGGAGGTCAGGAACTACAACAACAACGATGAAGTTCAGGGGAAGGAGAAGAAGAGTAGTGGCTGGTTTTGGTCAAGCTAGGTCTATCTTTATGAGTCGAATGCTTGATGCTATCTGCACGAAGTTGCATGATGTTTCGTGATAACGGCGTTGGGCTTTTGTGGCAGTTGTACACGGTTGAATGTCGGGCTGGCCGGCGTTTTGGATCACTCAAATCTCTTCATAGTTGTTGCACATACCCCTCTCAATACATTCTATCTTCGTTATTCAGTATAACCACGAGTGTAGCCATTGCCGAGACCTGTCAAAGTGAAAGTGTGGGGCAGGCGGCACGGCACGAGCCCGAATCGTCGAGCTCCGTTGCGCCACTGCTCAAGCTAAGGCAGGTCAGCGATAAACCTCGATTTTAGAAGACAAATGGATAATCTGTCTTCCACACCTTGAACAATGGAAAACGGGGTCGTGGCGTTTTTGCTGCCGGCCGGCATTGCAACTGTTATCGCATACGCAGTCTACACGACCATTTACAATGTGTACTTCCATCCGCTGGCGAAGTTCCCTGGTCCGCCAATGGCAGGAGTGACGTTTTACTGGAAAGGATATGTCGAATGTATCGCAAACCGTTCCTTTTGCCACGAACTCATCGAGCTGCACAAGCGTTACGGTAATGACGCTCAAGATCCCACAATCACGTTCGCTAATTCTCCCAGGCGACGTCGTCCGCGTCGGACCCAACGAAGTACACCATCCAAATCAGGGTTGATGACATGTAACTAATTGTAATTTACTCTCCAGCTCCATTTCTCGAACCCTCAAGCCTACCACGACATCTATAACAACAAGAACCGCTGGGACAAGGAATCCCGCCTCTACAAGTCCTTCAACGAAGACCGCTCCAGCTTCGGCTTCCTCACCTACGCCGAAGCCAAGCTGCGCAAAGACGTGCTGAACAAATCCTTCTCCGCCGCCGCCATCGAGAGCGTGGAAAACCTCGTCGTCGAGAAAACTCGAGATCTCTGCGATGTATTTGAACAGCGGGGAAAAGGCGCGGATTTACACTTCGCGTTCCGCTGCATGGCGATGGACATGATTATGACGCTGTGTTTTGGTAAGCCGATTCACGCGGTTGAAGCGGAGGATTTCAAGGCGCCGATTGTGGTGGCGATGGATGCGTCGAGTCCGGTGTTTTTGAGGTTCAAGTACTCGGATGTGTTTAAGAATATGATATTGAAGTGCCCGCCGGGGATTAGTAGGGTTGTTAGTCCGATGACGGCGGGATTGGTGGATTTACAGCAGGTATGTGCAAGTCCTATGTCGGGGCGAAGTGAATTGAGAGAAAACTGACTCAGGTGTTGTTTGGTAGCTGTTGAGAAAGCAGATCAACGATCTTACCGACGATCCGGAGAAGCTGAAGTTGTTGCCGCATAATAACACGATTTACCATCGCCTCATGGACGCCGAAGCGTATCGTAGCAAGACAGTCCCATCACCTGGGAGTTTGTACGAGGAAGCTCAAGCACTGATGTTCGGCGGTGCGGACACGGTTGGTAATACACTCATGATTGGGACGCATCGTCTTCTCAAAAACCCTGAGGCGATGCAGAAACTCAAAGCGGAGTTGCACAAGGTCTGGCCATCACTGAACGAGAGTATGCCAACGTTGTGTGAGCTCGAAAGGCTGCCGTACTTGAACGCTGTCATCAAGGAGTCGCTGCGGCTGTCATCTGGTGTGGTATCTGGCTTGTTGCGTGTTGTTCCCCCGAGTGGCGCGACGATAGCAGGCGTGAATGTGCCTCCTGGTGTATGTCGGTATCTATCCTGTTTGATTGGAAACAGCTGACAGTTCGCAGACCATCGTATCGTGCGGTAGCACTTTTGTTCACTATAATGCGAACATCTTCACGGAGCCAGACAAATTCACTCCAGAGCGGTGGCTCGAATCGTCCGAGTTGGATAATTGGCTTGTGGCTTTCTCGCGCGGTCCGCGTGCATGCTTGGGGATAAAGTGAGTACTTTGCGACTGTCTGATAGTCGCGCTTTTGCTGACGTCTTGGTTCAGTCTTGCTTGGGCAGAGTTGCGACTCGCGCTCGCACATGTAATTCGCAAATTTGACATGACTCTAACGGAACTCATGTAAGGAAATCACTCGTGTCACTGATCAACCTGGACTGACGATGATTAGGCCTGAACAGCTACCTTTCCGCGACACTTTTCTGCCGTACTACTACGGTCAGCATCTGCGTGTGGATATGAAGCCTGTCATTGCATGAAAGCTGGCACGACGAGGGCATGGGCTTTTCTCGGCACAGTACGGATTTAAATATGTGGGGAAGCGTCCCTAAAGTTCGAAAACCGATGTGATTTACCCGCGTGAGGGCGCGAACTCAGTCGCTATCTTCCCCGAGCAAAGGTTTTGGAAGAATTTGTGAAGATCGCTTATAACATGATTGTTCGGATTATCTCAAGCAATCTCTGCTCTACGTTAAGCGATACCCACTGCACATTTCCACCTCCGGTGGGACGAAACAAGCTTAGCATCAATGCAATTTCTAGCCCTACAGCACCAGCAAAATCGAAGCAGATTTTTTTACTCTTAAGAACATAGCAGAGTATCACGACTGTCAAATCACAAGTCGAGAGCTGGTTGGCATCAATAGGAGTCATCATCGAGCCTTCGGCGCAGGATACCCAGGCTGAAAATGGTAGCGCCGAACGCTCAGGGGGGAATAAACAAGGAGAAGTCACGCGCAATGCGACTTGATGCTAACTTACCCTAGGAACTATAGTCAGAATTCACGAGAACGGGAGTGTATCTGTACAACCTAACACCAAACTACGCTAACAACTAGAAGACTTCATACGAGATCTTCTTTACACACGTCACTTTTAACAACGGAATAATGACATCACTCCGAAAACCAAACCTTGCCCACCTTAAGGCATACGGTTGTAAAGCGTTTGCAAACTCTAACAACTCCTACTCGTATTAGGGAATAGTGCTTTGCTTTGCGCAGGGTGCCGGTAGCGAGGTTAATGCTAAGGACAGCAGCAAAGTGGATGAGCCCGCTACAAAAGGGGCTTGTCACCAGTCGTCTGGAAAATGAAGCATCTTAACAGATTGATAAGCACGGCAAGTTTGTCCTGAACATGGAAGACGTTACCATCAGCGTCTGTATAAGCACTTGCTCCTATTGGGTGTTGTGTTGTGTCGTAAAGTTTTGCAAATCCTGTGCGGTCTTTAATAGCGATATTGTGACAGTAGCCTGCCAGTTTGGTACAAACTGTCGCACTGTATGAAAATGAGAAAAGATACAAGAAGCCGCATGATATAAGGAAAGCTGCGTTGAAGACGGTAATTCGTGGCATGATGTTCTTCGTCGACAGTCGTGGGAAGCGCAAGATGATAGCATTATAGGGATACGCGTTATATGGCGAAGAATGATGACGGTTAATCACAGGCATGGTTTTAGTACTCTAGTCGTCTGTGTACTAATGGGGTCAGGTCTGCTTCCAAACAGGGGACCTGGGGTGAACGGTGCGAGCAGACTACCTGAATGGGCCACAAATGCTTTGCTGCACTTATCATAAGGACAGATTGTAGGTTTTAGGGTGAAAATCTATGTTGCATTCGGAGTGTTGGTGGGGCGTTGGTTACTAAAACTTCCGCCTGTGCTACTCAGCCGAACATACAGGTTGCAGCCTTGGAGCCAAATAAAAGGTCTGCAAATGGCCCGATCAGGTATTGAAATTTGTGCGAGAAAGAATGCAAGAGCGCAGTCATGCCCTAAAATCGAAATTTTGTGGTTTGCACAACGCGGCTGATCCCTGATTTAGGTGACGTAGTGCTAAGGATGATTGAAACTGCTTTACATCTCACCGCTGCCCTAGAGGTACGGGGCGCAGAGCGTTCTTAGCGCGAGTTCACAAAGCAAGGGTTGAAACGCCCACGTCTACAAAAGGCCAAAGCAAGGCTCTAGAACAATCATTGCGATCGTAAAGTATCCTGCTGCACGAACTTTCGCCAAAGACTGAAGTTGACACGTCTCACTTCTCGAGCGTCCCAAAAGCTGTGGAGACTTGTCCAGGCATCACGCTGTATGTTTAAACCAAGAGATATGTCGAAGAAGCAGCGAAGATCTTACACGTATCTGGGAACATGTTTGAATCCAGTCACGTCTACAATACTATTGCCATCCAGCGATACGACTGATTAGATAATAACGATGTAGGATCTAGCTACGGCCTACAATATAATGCTGTGCATTGAAGTGCAGCGTTGTGCGCATGCAGTGAGGACTGAAACGCATGTTCCTTGTTGAGAGCTGAAAGAAATACTCTAGTGGGATTACAGATTGGGCAATAGAGCAACCGCAGCATGGAGTTCAGGATGGTAGCGTGGTGATGTCTATCATATTTCTGAAGTGAATTGAGTTCGGCTTGAGTTTCGTTCTTATACATCCGATCTACTGATTGATGATTACTCTCTTCTATCATCACGTAGCCATTGCTTCATGCGTATTCAGACTTCTCCAGAATTTCGTATCTACTTATCGTTTCGTTGTGCTCATAATGTACCCGCTCACTTCGTCCGGAAAACAATAGAATTCATGACCTGAGATATACCGCTTACTGTATCTATATATTTTCGTTTACCAGTTCAGACCATGATCCTCCTGTGGTATATATACCACTGAGTACGCCCCAACTATCTCACCACAGCACCGATGAGAACCTCAATGTACATCAGATAATGTCCTGAACAATGGTCAACTTTCACAAAGCCATTGAATCCACTTGTCTTGCTGCCTCTTCGCAATCCTCCCCACTAAGAGTGTCATACCCCACAACCTGTGCGCAGGCTGACAAGCCATGTACACCGATGAAATCGCCGTTCGGTGTACTCTTGAGCAAGGCTGCTCTGAAACCATTTGCACTTGCAGCGGGCCCCAATGTGACGTTGCCTGAGCGGAACTGGATATCTGCTGTGGCGTTGTTGAAGAAGTAGGTATTCCTTTGGCATTTGCCACCTAGGGGAAAGTTAAGAAGATATGGCTGGTTGATCGCTCTCTTGAATAGCTCAGTCGAATATCTAGGATTTTCCTCCGTATAGAGAGAATGTAAGTCAAATGCTTCTGAATAAACTCCTGGTCCGCTAACAGAATTCGGCACGACTGCCCACTTAGTGCTTCTGCTGTAGATTGCCCGAAAATCTGAAAGTGTGACATCCTGTTGATATGCTGCATTATTTGGGATGAAATAGCCGGCTTTCGTAAGTATGCCGCCAAGGAGTGTTGCAACGAGGCTCGGTACTTTGCCGTACAACAGCGCTTCGCCACCCTTGCCTGTACCAGCCAAGTACGTTATGATCGGTCGATTGAGGGGTATTTTGCTGCCAGATCTCCCAACCCACGGCACGATCCAAGCTGGACCCGATCAAGGGCTTGTCAAGTTGAAGCTTGTCTTGACGGATGTCGGCCATAAATCCTGATGATACGAGGACAGGATGGTACCCTTCCGTTATATTGTACTCTAGAGGTACTGGAAGCAAGGCTTAATTTGGCCAGTGAGGAGGCCGGGGAGGTCGATTGGCGAAGTCGTTTCATCAACAGCTTTCTGCACATCATCTCTGGGCACCGGTACGATGAACCATGCTGAAAAGCTTAGTGAATGTATGGGAAAATAGTTCTAAGGGGGCACGAACTCTGATTAGTGCTCATAGAACGCGAAGTGGCAACTTGATACTGTGCAACGAGGTTCGGACACTGCGCAGTGACAAGTCCACTGAATATCGCGGCAACCGTAAAGACAGCCTTGAAGGAGTACGCCATATTTGGATCGAAAGTGTTGCGAGGTATGGGATCTAAATCGAGTGGTGGTAGGGTTTAGGGTGTTAGAGAAGGGCGGACCTCAGGCTTTATGTGTGATCACTGTCGAGACATTCTTTGCTGATCCCGCAAAACAGCGTCAAAACTGAGCAAGATTTGGCCTAGAGGACGTACACGATCGAGATGTGTTCTCCTCAGTCTTACGCATGGATCTTTGAATGGCTGTTCGAACCTCAGACGGCTTTGAAAGCGGATACGCCAGGTTCATAGTTGCCAATGCCCAGAGGCAGATGACTCGGTGGCTTCTGTCGCATCACACGTGGCGCAGGTAGTGTAACGCACGAGTTCATATCTGTACTACGGATCACCTCTGACTACTAACTATTGTAGCACAGTGAACGCTATCGACGATTTACATTGCATTGCAAACCTTGATTAAGACAGCGATCCTTCTTAAACATATATACAATAACGCTTAGCTCTGTATAATGCTATTAAATTGACGGAACGCATTAACCTGGAAGGGATGTAATGTCTGCGTCGGTCTGCGACAGTAGCAAGACTTTTGAGAACAAGAGTTAGTAGCTACGCAGAGCGACGTATAGATCTAACCTCTAGTCTATCTCTATTCTTAGTAGGAATAGCAAGCTAAGCCTATAGAAAGAGGCCTTAGCAAGGCGCTATATAGTAGAAATAGATAACTCTACTAGTATATCTTCTTAGCCTTGCTAAGCTATTCTAGAACTATATAAAGGCTATCTAAGTTATTAACTAACGTAAGCTATAAGCAAGCTAATTACTTTGCTAAGATAATACTACCTTCTGCTATCTATTACAATGCTATAACTACTTAATCTTAAATTACTTTCTTATATAGATAATATAGTAGAGCAACGTGCGTTAGCGTAGAGCCTAAGCCTAATAGAATATTAGGCGAAGTATAAAGGCAGAAGAAGGTAGTTTAGAAGTTTAATAACTTAATTAACTACTTTTGCATTAAGTATACTCTACTATAATAAATAGTAACTAATTATATAACTTAAACTTTATACCTTAGTTCTTAGAAGAGCTAAGAGTAGATAAGTATAGCTAAGTAAGAAATCTAGCTCTAATAATATATTAGCTAATAAGAATAAGAATAAGAATATAAATAGATAATAGAAATAAGAATATAAATAAGTAATAAGAATAGATATATGCATAGAAATAATAATAATAAGAATAAGTTATATTAAGATATAGAAAAAGCAATATATAGCATAACAGCATAGCTAGAAAATATAATAATATTATACTAAGTAATCTTTATTAACGTAAAGCACTACTAAGATAGCTATACTACTAAGCTAGCTACTTTTTCTTAGCATTGCGAATACTACAGTAGAGTGACAAAAAAAAAGATTTACTTAAAAAGTTATAGTTTTTAACTAGCTATAACTTAACGATAAGTAGAGCTATAACTATAATTTTTAAAGCGTTTTAAAGAGAAAAACTTACTCTGTTTTATAAAAATAAAAAGTAACGTAGTAGACTAGCTAACTAAGCCAGAAGACCTAAGTAAAGTAGAGGTATCTTTTTTTCTAGTTTTTAACTAGCTATATCTTTTTTTAAACCTAGAAATAACCTTGCTATCTTTACTAGTGCTAAACAGGCTAATAAAGATTACGTAAGCAAATTTTTAGGTAAAGTCTCTTAACTAAGTATTAAGATAATTAGAGTTATAGAAAAAAGGCACTAGATTATATAAGCTAAATTAGCTAAGCTGCTTAGTAATCTTTTTAGTATCTTTTTATAAAACTAATCCTGCTCTTTAATTTTCTTCCTCTCTCTTATACTCTTTTTTCTATAGCAAAAATGCTCTTAAAATTTAAATATAAAGTAGCTCTCTTAAAATAAGCTAAAGTCTCTAATAAGAATATTGCTACTATCTTAAATAAGTCTATTAAATTAATTAAAAACGCTGCTAGCTGAATTACGCATAAGACTAGCCTAAAAGACTCTATAATTAAGAGCATAACAGCAGATTATAAAAGTACTTTTAGATTAAGAGAGAAAAGAGCTATTAAAAGAGATATTATAAGAAGTCTTAAGAAGCAAAATAGTTGTTTACTATTAGAAAATAATATTTCTATTAGTAAGCAGACGTTATAGCGTTATTTTAAAGAGAAGAGAATTACTATTAACGTTGCTTTAAAAAAAGCCTATATTAATAGCAAAAATGCTACTTTAAGGCTAAAATACGCTAAGACTTAGCTTAAGGATATCAAAAATATAGATCTAAGAAAGATTATATTTAGTAATAAGTTAGCAATCTAACGAGAACACAGTTCTAGGCAGGAATATTATCAAAAATTAAGCAATATAAGAGCAGGCAAGAAAATAGTCTCTGTAGCTAATAGAAGTAAGTTTAAAAATATTTCTAATAGGCTATTTTATGCAGTGTTTTACGTAAAATTTTTCTAGAATTTTAGTTTTTTAGTAGCTAGCTTACTAATCAATCTATAGGCTGAGATCTAACTCTGTAAGTTTAAGGCTCAATTTAGATAGATAGATAATCTAATCTAATCGTTATAAAAGACTCTAAAACTTCTACTAGCTTTAATAGTAGAAGATATATTAAAGAGGTCTTAAATAAAAGCGTTAAACCTTTTATAAAACGCAGTAAGTTAACTAGTTATATTTTCTCTATATATCTGTTTATAACTATAGTATATATAAACGTAACTGATTATTAAGCTAGCTATATTATTAAGCTAGCTAGTTTTTCTTAGCATTATAGTTTTCTCTATAACTCTACGAGTTCTAGACTATTCCACGATTTTATTTTATATCTAGAAAGCTCTAAATTAGGGCTTTCTAACGCACTAAAAATTACCTAATTAAGCCTAGTATTACTAGAGCTAGAGCTTAGTAAAGTAGAAGAGCTTGCTTAACTTTAAACTCTAGTAACCTATAGTATATAGCTACGCATTAATCTATAACTTATAATATAGAATCTATATACTATAAAAAAGTAGACTCTAGAGTTTTAACGTTTTCTATATGCTAGTTCTAGAGATATAAAGCTAGATAGCTCTTAGAGCATAAAAAAGAATATATTATTTAATAACTAAGCTAAAGCAGACTCTATTTAGCTCTAACTTTTAGAATAGAGACTATATATATAGATATTATATATACTAACCTCTTAAGCTATAAGGCTAAGTATAGAAGACGTTATTAATTTTTTTAAAAATAGAGTAAAATGCTAAGAAAAAGAATTTTTCTTAGTATCTTAGTTTTCTATATAATAAAATAATCTAAAAAGATAGAATATAGTTTTTATATACTAATAGTGTATAAAATAAGTTTTAGAAGTTAAAATATACTGTTATAGCATCTAATATACTAGATTACTTAGGCTTAGTACTAAATAACTACTTTCTTCTATAACTTCTTTTAGAAATTAGCTATAAGTCTAGAACTTTCATAGACTATGTTTTTACTTATAAAATATAATATATTAAAGTTAGAAAGAAATACGTAAAGATTTAGCTTATATTACTAGGGTTTAAAGTTAAGCGAGCTCTTCTACTTTACTAAGCTCTAACTCTAGTAATACTAGGCTTAATTAGGTAATTTTTAGTGCGTTAGAAAGCCCTAATTTAGAGCTTTCTAAATATAAAATAAAATCGTGGAATAGTCTAGAACTCGTAGAGTTATAGAGAAAACTATAATGCTAAGAAAAACTAGCTAGCTTAATAACATAGCTGGCTTAATGATTAGTTACGTTATAGAGTAATTTTATATTTTATATATAGTATTTATAATACTAAGAAAAAGTAGCTAGCTTACTAATATAGCTAGCTTACTAATTAGTTACGTTATATTAGTAAGTTAATATTAAATAAGAGATGTTAAATGCTATAGCAGCGCGTTAGAGGCTTTGAAATTAATATATATTATAGGCAGAAAGAGCAAGCTAAATTCTGCCTTCTTAGTAACTTAATTCTGTATATTATTATTAAGATATTTTTATAGTAATAGAAAAAGAAAGAATTCTTAGCAAAACTAACCTATATAATAATATAACCTACGTAATAATAGTTTACGTTACTATTTTAAGTGCTTTATAACTAATAACTTAAGAAATAGCATTTTAGGTATCTAAACAACGCATTAGCACTTATGATATAGAACTAATAGAATTTAGCGCAAAAACTACTACTTACTAGATAGTTATAGTTAACAAAGTTATTAAATGCTTATAGGATCTTTTTAAATAGGTTATCTCTAGGTTTCTCTATGTTTATAGCAGCTCTAGAACACAAATCTATTAAGATGTTAAAATAAGATACTTCGTCTACGATTTTATCTCTTATAGAGAAGACTATCTATTATCTCTCTCCTTCTTTAAGTTAAGCAAGAGCTTATTCTGTTAATTAATGTGCTTTGCAATAAACAGACTTACTGCCTTTGCGAAATAATTAGTAAACGCTAAATTTAGCAGATATCTTTTCCTTGCATGCACCTTAACGTTAGACGTTGTTAACGCATTTACATTATTTGCACGACTAGGTATCGTACAACTTAGATCGTTTAATATTTGCCTTATGCAAGAAGATAGAGTTGCACGCGTCTAGAGAGTTAAAGACTGCGAGATTTAGCGCTGTGCGAACCTTGCTGCTATACACCTGGAATTGCTGCTAGAACCAAATATGTCGATCTTGTTTGACCCCTAACCTTCTAACTCGCGACTTATCTGACATGACCTTAGTCTTTCACCATATATCCAAAATAAAATCGGCGCTGGAACACCGATTCCTATACCTAAAAACCCAAGCAGTGAGTTTCCCCATCCGTAATCTAGACTGTTATACATGACTGGTGCAAAAAGCGGGAATCCAAACCCAGCCAGGGAGCGTAAGACCATAGTAGCAGCTGTTGCACTTGCAGCATATTTTGTGTATGCATCAAAGATGTATGCCTGCGTGGATTGAAAACAAATGATCGTTCCAGCCGCATATATACCTGCCCCAATATTCGGCATGACCCAGTGACTTCGTTCCTGTGCGCTCCAGCCATACCAGAAAAGCCCAATCGGAACTAATGCCGCACCGACAAAGATAACCGGAACGCGAAACTCGGGTTTTTCACGTCCATTATTTTTCTTCTTGAGATACGCATAGACTGCGTTGTGAAATGGGACGGCTATCTGGGCACCAAGAAAGAGACCAATGCCGAAAGAGATATAATTCAAGCCACTGGTACTAATGCTCTGGCCATAGGTGTCTCTCCAGAGGCGCGGAAATGTAGAAAGCATCAAATAGACGACACCGTTCAGGTAGGACTGATAAAGTGCCATTACTTGGACGATTGGCTGCGTGAGAATGAAACGAAATGGCCGAACAATGGCATTGGTGAGTACCCTTGCAAGCCTATAGTCATTGTCAAATTCGGTACAGAAGTCCTGACCATCCGTTTCCTTGCGTAGCTTCGCAGCGCGTTGTTGTAGGATTTTTGGGGCAAACGACTCTTGAAGGAAGAATACTGCCGCAATTTGGATGGCGGCAGAAGCAGCAGAGGTGGCCCAGAAAGTCCACCTCCAGGTAGTATACTGCGCCATAAAACCCCCAGCGATTGGCCCGATTGCAGGTCCCAGGAGTGGAGTTAATGAATATATGCTCACTGCTTGGGCTCTTTTCTCAGCGTGGAAGCAGTCGCTTACTACCCCTCCACCTATAGCAAGGGGAGCACTTCCACCCAGTCCGCTGAGAAATCGAAACACAAACATCTGCTCCTTCGTCTTGGCAAAGCCGCAACCAATGTTGAAACAGAAAAACCATGCATTTGACGCCTGCAGAACGGGAACACGCCCATAGATTTCGGATAAGGGTGCCAGAAACATTGGACCCACAGCATATGCGAGAACGAAGACCGATATAGTTAGCTGGCCTTCGACTTTGCTGGTAATGTTGAGGTCTTGCATCATATTTCCGAGTCCAGGAGCTACCATGGTGGACGCTACAGGTGGCATCAAGGTGAATGCAGAGGCGATCATAGTTGTCGTTATCTTCTTTCGGGTAGTCCAGTTTTTCGGATGTTGGGGGTCCCGATCAGACCACTTTATCAGTACTCGGCCTTGTACACTTTGACTGGGATCCCGATCAGGGTCACCGCTTCGGGTTCTGTCAAGGCGTCGTCCACCTGCATAACTGTGAGATTCATGACTGCAACGAAGTGGTGTAATCGCCTACATACCAGCGCTCTGTGATAGATGAAAACAGTGATAAAGCCTTGCTGCAGTCATGGCAAACGAGACAACTTATTTTCTGGTGCTTTCGCCAGATTCTCCAGGTAGCGAAAAGATCGAGAAGCTGGCGTTGATAATGTAGAGAGGTGAAGTTAGAAGAATATTTTATCGTATATGGCTCTGGAGGAACTAATATACAGCTTACAAGGGCCGGAGATTGTCCGGCATTTTCATATACTTCTGAGGGTCTGTGTGGTCTCACCGATACGATCCAGCTCAACTTATTTCCATCGGCACGCTATACTCCAGAGTTGTCAACAATCAAGCCGATCGGCGGCTTGATTCGCGAACGTGCCATGCTGAGGGACTTGCAAGTCTGCACGGAGCATGTTATAGAACGTGCACGCCTTAACAGGAAACAAAAATAGCTGATCGGCTTGATTGGCTTGATTGTTGACATGTCTGCTATACTCAAACCGGACTTCCCGAGTTAGAACAGAGAGGGGTGTCTAGTTTTAACTACGACAGGTTAGAGCTTGGCAGTCTTACTTATTATCTATTCACTAGCGCAGTAGTTTACTTTACTGCCCGCCGAAGAAGGCAAGGTAAGCCAAAATTTCCAACGGAATCAGTCCAAGCTCTTGACCTCCAACTAATACTGTCAGTCGATCCGATTGAGCCACGGAATATATGGCTAAGCTAGTCGCTCCATTTGCCGGCAGAAAAGCTATCGGGAATTCTAATCGGATCTGTGAAACCAGAAAGGCCCTGAACAGGGTTTAGCAGTTTCGCTAGCGTTACTGCGAAGAAGAACGCTAGCAAATGCCAACTCTAAGATTCAACAGCATTCAGATGTGCAAGGTACTCGCCAAGGCAGTATCCCGCCCAGTACGGGTTAAATTGGCGCTAATGTAACTAAGGTACATTATAGGAAAGAATGCTCATACTGCGGCAATGCTTTGATGCTAGTCGGATCAAAAATTATATAAAAACGAGCACACATCATCCCATATAATTTCCATAAAACACCTACAGCAACATCATGGACGTACTCAATCTTCGTAAAAATGACTGTATTGTTCTATTACTCCCTCTATTCATCTTCTTAGCGATTTCTATTCACTATTTCAAACTCAACAAAGCTACCTCGGTCTTATCCAGTTCTCAGAATTCGAACACTGTTGATCAAAAAGTTAGCAACTTGCAGAAGAACAACCCGCGTGCTAGCAAAACAAAACGTTATCAAGCAATCTTTTTTAAGCTACAGAACCTTGAAGACTTTCCGGATGTGGTGGAAGCGGCACGGGATGAACTTTTAGCGATGTTTTCGCGCGGTATTTCGTTTGGCATGAAAGAACCGCAGCAAGGCATCCTGTCGATACCGCATTATGACTCAGAGAGGATCTGGAACTTCATTGAGAACGAAAACGAAAGAGTTATGACACAATGGGCCGAATATTTGGAAAGTCGAAAGCTGGGACATGGTCCACAGCTGTTCTCTACCCTGGAAGGGGCTCGGGTTTGGCTGACCCAACAAGCTCCAGTAAAGTTAGTCGACGGCGCCTGGCTTTCTCACGTACATAAGATCACCACTCCTTTTGCTCTTCGGGGGATCACCAAATACGCGTGGCAAATCTTCTCTGAAGAGCTCGGCGACGGCGATATTACAAAGCACCATGTACATCTTTACCGACAGCTTTTGGCAAATTTCGGATGCCAACTTCCAACAAATGACACAGCGGAATTCATATCTCCGGGCCGATGGGAAGGGATGGAGAATGAACATGCATGGGAAGCTGCCGTGGGCCAACTCACCATCTCGCTTTTCCCAAATGAGTTTTTGCCCGAAATCCTTGGCTTCAATATGCACTATGAACTCATCACACTCGACACTTTACGCGCGGCCTATGAGCTCAAAGCTCTTGGGATCGACCCCAGCTACTTCCTTATTCATGTCTCGATTGATAACGCGGATTCTGGACATGCTGCCATGGCTACTCACACCGTGATTCGCTATCTTGAGGTAGTCCGATCTACTGAGGGCGAAACAGCTTTGAATGATGCCTGGAAGCGGATCCAAACAGGATATGCTATGTCTCATGCTTTGGGTTCGCATTCAACGCAAAAGCAAGGTGACATGGAAGCTCCGATCAGCACACTGCACATCACGGTAGACGAAGGCGTCACATCGCGAGTAATTGATATCATGAGGTCCAAGGCATTGGTGTCACACAAGTGCCACCTTCAAAGTCGGGCGCGTATTGGAGGGCGGTCCCTATCTGAATGGCTCGCACCAAGCATATGGCAACAACCAAGCCCTCAAAAACACTTGGAGTTACTCACGGAGCTGGGCAACGCCAAGCCATGGGTCATTGCCGGAGCGAGCAACAAGAGCCTGCTGATCAAGGAACTGCAGTGGAAGGGACGCATGTTCGGCGCTTTCACGCACAGCGAGGTTGTCACCATAAGAGAATGGATAGACTCTCTAGGTGTGGGCATGGATTCCTCCGTATATTGGAAGTTCACCTCCAGGAAACCAGTAATGTCCAGGGATGCTGTCATGATGCTTGATAACCCTGCTGTTCACCATCCAGTTGTATTCTCCAGTCGAAACAACATTGACCCCTCAGGCCTCGAGGCATCTTCCGACAGCGAGAGCTCGAGAACCATTTCAGAAATTTGGACCGAGCCAGAAGCCTTTACCTTATCGCCTGATCTACAGTCATCCAACCTGCTACCTCTCTGGTTTGCGCATATTGGTCTATTGGAAAACGCCATCACTACACCTTCGCAAACAGCTCTTCCTCTCTACGCCAGTATATTGCGCCTCTTACGTGCTCAAGCCGGGTTTTGCATTGAAACGGAGATTGTAGCTGGTATGGATGAACTGAATAGGTCTTCATGCCTAAGTCTTGTAGACATCGGCCTCGAAATTCTGTCTCATGCCGACACAGCGGGAACCTCTCCACCCACATGTTTGAATGACATTATAATGTTGGCTGAGACAAAAGGCATACACGGGGAAACTATTAAGCTCTCCAAGGATATGTTATACTGGGCATTGCAGCCGAAGAAGAACCTGAGCTGGCTTCTCGGCCTAGCTGTGGCCTTTTTGCCAGTAAAAAAGGCCGTTACAAGAGCACCAGAGCTTCTGAGCAAGGACACTAGACTTGTATTAGATGGCATTGTCGAGAGGGAAAAAACGTGTCTGATGGACTGCGTAAATGTTCTGAATGACAGCGATGTATCAGAATGTGCGCGATTCATCCGCGGTTATCGATATGGCTCAAGCGCTCTGAGGCGCTGTCTTCCAACACCTGGTCATCAGAAATAGAAGAGATCGTGTCGAGGAACTTAGTGAGAGGCCATGGTTGAGCTTTGGAGGGAAACAATAGATGCATTGCATGTGCTTCTCCTTGTTCAACAAAGTCCGGAGAGACAAAACATGATGATCTTCTCAACTGTATGAGCCAATCGAGCCGGGAAATTTACATGCCACTATGACTCTTGTGACAGGGGTAAATTTCGGTATTATAGATCAATCCATCATCTCGGCGTAAAGTACAAACTACAAAGCCGCCGCTCTAATGTGCTTAGAAGATTATGCATTCGTTTTAGCAAGTCCCGCAGCCATTGCAGAGATGAGGCGAGAGTGTCAGGGTTGGGGATGATGCACTGAACACTCAGTGGGGCATATACTATGGGTACGGGCAAAAGTATTGTAGTTGGGGGCGTGGTCCGTGTAATCGGCATCGACCCCTATTAGCGACAATGTAAGCAGTGATCTTTGCCCGTAACCACAGTATAGCACGAATCAGTGATAACGTTATGTGCGGAACACGGTAAATCCATCCGGTAAATCCATCGCCGCATCTTTGTTGGCGCTGAGCATGGCCGGCTCGGCCCGACTAGTGCAGGAAACTGCCGATGAGCTTGTGATGCTACAGACTAGGGAATGTTGCGCGAGCCAAACCGAGCCCAGTGGGTATATGTAGTATTAAGGGGTTATATCATGTGCGGAACACGGTAAATCCATCCGGTAAATCCATCGCCGCATCTTTGTTGGCGCTGAGCATGGCCAGCTCGGCCCGACTAGTGCAGGAAACTGCCGATGAGCTTGTGATGCTACAGACTAGGGAATGTTGCGCGAGCCAGACCGAGCCCAGTGGGGTACATGTAGCACAAATCAGGGGTTATATCATGTGCGGAATACGGTGAGTCCATCGCCGCGTCTTTCTTGAGGCTGAGCATGGCCGGCTCGGCCCGACTGGCGCAGGAAATTGCTGATGAGCTTGCAATGCTAAAGACTACATAGGAAAGGTTACGCGGGCCGAACCGACCTCGGCTAGATCCGGAACCTACGGAACCAATACTGCGAGTTCAATGGACAAGGTTTTTTCCACAAGATCTGCACTATGGGAAGTTTATTCGGTCAAACTGGGGCTGGATTTAGTGGAGCTACTGCAAGGATGTGATGACAATGAAGTAGTGATCTACAAGGACTTTTCGACGACTTGGTAGCTATGCAGGATGCAGCTTTCTCGTAGCACTACGGTCCGACTACATTTTCTTGCACCTGATCAGATTCAAGAGTTGCTCCGAGATCCGGAAGACTGTTTACATGATTGACTAACTCAAATAAGCAACCTCAAATTCGTTTCCAATTATACACTATTAGCTTTCTTTCTCCCATTCTCATCAAGACAAACAACACACGGATTTTTTCATCATTCCAACGAATTAATGAGAGCTGCGATGAACACCAATTCGTCCTCCGAAAAGTTTGCTGCACTAGAAATCATCGACTATGAAGCTCTGAAACGGAAAGATCCGATTGAGATTGAGAAGCTCATTCATGCTGGCAGAACGGTTGGCATGTTCCATCTTGATCTTCGTGGTCCGTCTACCAAGGCGATATTCGAGGACATGCCCGTAGTGTTCGACACCGCTCAATCCTTTTTCAGACTTCCTCCAAACTCAGTGGAAAAAGTTGAGAGTCTTCGCGAGGGAATGGAAAGAGGGTATTTGAAGAGCAATTCATTCAACTCTCTGATGCTGACTTCGTCTTCTAGATATCATGCTGGCAAAGGATTCGAATATTACGAGGTTGGTAATTCTGATGGATCTATTTCAGATGACTGATTAGTGTTTACAGATTGCCCGCGATGAATTCCAGCTTGGCAAATGGGTCCTACCGGCCACCTTCAGGCCACAAGAACGACGTATCGCCCGCACAGTTCAGATCTTCAACAACTCCGTCCAGACGATACTCAGCGAATTGTGTGCCGCCGAAGATATCCACATCTCAGAGCTTGGTGATGACCCTACAATACCTAGCGATACAGCATTGAAGATCGTATATAAACCTCCAATTCATGACGCGGGGAAGGTGATTCATCCTTGGCATACTGATTTTGGACTCATCACGCTGCTCTGGTATGATGAAGAAACTACACAGATACCGATATATGATGGAGATGGGTCTCAGACTCAAGAGTGGCAGACAGTACCGGTAGTGGAAGGTTGTGTTCTTATTAATATTGCTGACTGTCTTGCGTCGAAGTCTGGAGGTCGTCTGCATTCTACTACTCATCGGGTTGTGGCTCCTCCAGGGGCTAAAAGGACAAGAAATGGAATCATATATCTTCTCAGGCCATACAATATGTAGAATATGATAAGTTGATATGACCGATCAGCGAATACTTAGGTGCTCTAATCCGTTAGGCGAATATGTGTATAGTTGATGAGCTTTTGCCGGTAGCATATTATCTACTTAAGAAGGTCTTATAACATCATTTGCAACTTAGTCTATACATGGGTTCTATTGTTTTGAGAAGAACTCTCGAGGTTAAGCCTACAAGCTTCATAGAGCTCGTTGATGTTAGTCAGCAAGGAGCCTACGTACTTTGTTATTACGATTGATCTGTACAAAATTTGTCTTAATTTATCCTTGTTCATTTTCACTCAGCCGCGCGATCTACAGAGGCATGACAAGTTATAATGATCAAACAATAGTTATCGCCGATCTCTGCAGGAGACAAGGTGCAGTCCAACTATTCTCTAGAGCCCCTGAATTGCGATCTTGGCTTTAGAGTCTAGACCTTTCAAAAAAGAGGGGAATGTCAACTAGAGGAAACACATGGAATTTGAAGGAAATTAAAGGGGATTGTGCTGAATGTCGGAGTCGATAGGCATACATGGTATAGAATGAATCCTATATATAGCTTGAGATAAGGACAAAGCATTATCAACATACCTTTCTACTCGAAAAATACTTCTATACAAAAAAGACTTCAGTGCCCCAAAATGAGTCATATCAAAAATCTAACCAGTGGCTATGATCCTCATTTATTATCGGATGTTGATCCCATGGTAAGATTTTCAGAATAATCTGGATGTAGGCATAAAACACGTCTGACAATCATCTTAGGCTGACCTTCAATATGAGGCTCATGGACAAGGCACAGTAACGTTTGATGCAAGAGTCCATTCAATATTGGTTCCTGGACAACCAGACGAAATCAAACTTCAACTCAGAGTTTCACGGACTTTCCTTACAGCCAATATCCAGGTTACGAGTGTTAAAAGCTCAGAATGGAAAGATGCAAAAGAGATTACCAGGGAGTCTTTAATCTGTGTTACAGGTCGCTTCGAACCTACCAAGCGCCATGGTCATTACATGGATTCCCAAGATGACACCTTAACCCTATCGCGTGAACTGTACGTCACTGGTATCAACGTTATTGCACTGGCGTCTCCGGACATTCTTTTGCCGCAACAGGATCGATTCCCTAGTCTCGAAGAGCAACTCAACAATCGCATCATTGATGTGAGACACGCAGCCTCCGGAGTAATCTTTAAACTGCACTCCGGCATGTGTCAGTTGATAGTCGAGTTCCTGTGCTCGAATGGGTTTTACTGGATTCACACACCTCGCATCATTACTGCTACAATTCCCGGTGACAACGAATACTTTCATTTGCCATATTTTGGAAGGGATGCATGGCTATCGCAAAGCTCTCAGCATCACAAGCAAATGGCACTCTCGATGGATATGCAGCGCGTTTTCGAGATCGGGCCTGTTTTTCGGGCTGAAGTCAAATCTTGCGAATCCTCGAGACATTTGACCGAGGTAAGGAGTTATTCGCCGTTCGATAGTTTGAACCCCACCTAAAGTACCTTTTGAGTTTTCGCTAAGGCCTCATCTGCTCTAGTTCACAGTACTCGATGTCGGCATGGTTTTTCAGAATGATTACCATGAGGTAATGGAATTGATCGAATCCATGCTGGTGTTCGTTTTCAGGGGCTTGCAGCAGCGGAAGCAGTACCGGCATCTCATTGAGGCTTTCATGAGTCTATACCCATCAGCAAGAGATTTCAAAATCGGTCTCGACGAATCGGGAAAAGTGCCCCGCATCACTTTCTTAGAGGCCAAACGCATCTTGAGGGAAGAGCTTGGTTTTGAAACGGAAGATGACAAAAACTTCACGTAAGTAATTGATACCTTTTATACCGCCTTTTCGTAAGCTTCAATGGCTCATAATTTCGTACAGTGATGAGGAAGAAGCTGCTCTTGGTCGTCATTTCCGTACTTCGCCTAGTTGGGGTGGCACGGACGTATTCACAATCGACCAGTTTCCAGCGTCTATGCGTCAATTTAATTCTCAAGCGAACCCCGATGTTCGAGGTCTTTCTAATACTTGGGATACTATTGTCAGAGGACGAGAAATATGCTCTGGCAGCCAGCGTATTAATTCCTTTAATGAGCTGTGCGAGGCAATGTCTGCTGGTGTTTGTGGCCCGCCATTAGATCCAAAAGCCGAAAAGTGGCAATCTTACCTGACCGCTTTCAGGACTGGTATGCCACGTCATGGCGGCTGCGGACTGGGGGTCAATAGGTTGCTTCAGGGGTTCTTGGGTCTCGACGACGTTCGCGAAGCTACGCTATTTCCAAGGGACATTGGAAGATTAATACCGTAGCTTTAGTTTGTTCTTGATGGCATGACACACGAATCATCCCTAGAGATGGCACGCGTATATTGCATATCACAGCATATATCAACGATGTACATGGAAGAATCTAGTCTTTCGGATTCATTTTCTCAACAAAATACCAGAGGATGTATTCATTCTTGTATGCTAGTCCTCTAGAATGTTTGTGCTCAACGATTGTCTGTTTTCAAAACATACAAGGATGGAGCGATGTTTTGATATACTGCTCAGAGACCCCAAGGACTTCAGCATCGATTATTGCAGATTCCATTCGCCCAATATATTCTTTTCTGATTTTACCATCCTCGCAATATTCAGGGACAACGTATACCAAAACATTGCGAGCTACACTGTTTTCAACTTGATACGTCTTAGTACAGGTACAAACATGGCATGGAATACTGCAAAAAACATACATGTATTCTCCTTAGTACGCTTTTCGTTCTTCAGACGGGCTTGCCAAGATCCCAATGGTCCTCCTGCTCCAACTTCGGCCCGATACATGGCTATTTCTTCGGCAATTCTGGTCGTCTTCTGTCTTTCGAAAGCGAGGATTGATAGTTTCTCGATGTTGATGTCGATTTCCTTTTCCACAAAATATCCCTCTGAGATCTTCTCATACTTCCGCAAAGAATCTAGATCACGTGAGGATACAATGAAAATGAGGCCCTCGACAAAATCTGCATCATTTCCTCTGACAATATTTGCGCCCCCACGGCTGTTGATTTGCCATTTGTAACCTTTCAGTCGGCCTTTCGAGTAGAGAATGCTCTCTTCACAACGTTGTGCCATCTGCTGAAGATGCATGTTACTCCCGTATGTGAAATAGAACCTCCCATAGCTGCTATCCTGTGAGGAAACGGCGTCATGTGTGACAGAAGCCATGTTCAAGTGCAATTGACGATGAAGTAGCCTGGAGAGGTTTGTAGTGAGAATGTTCTTGCCGTAACGATCCGCTTTTGTATTGGCGACATAACTACCAAACCATTTGGGGGATAGTCAGGCTTTCCTGTCAACTGGTTTTCCATGCGGTATTCGGTGCAACTAGTACAGGGAGTGCTATGGAAAGCTGTATCCTCATGTCGAATTCAAATTCAGCTCCGTGCCCGTGATGTGTATGACTCAGGGATTTAGATAAAAATCTCATTTTAACATTCGCGTTCTTTTTTTTCTTTGCTTGATCCGCAAAAGCTATTTCAGCCTTCTCGTAAAACTACACTTCGGAATATGGCTCAACAGATGCCCTTTCAGTGACTGCATTGAGCAACCAAGCACCCTGCGCAAATGCACAGATGGGCTCTGGTGAAGCTCTCCAAAGTGTACCCAAAAATTGACCATCCGACATCATAAATGTGCCTACAAGATATCGGAGAGGCCCCGTCGATAAGTGGCTTTTGTTGTTCTCATCGCCTACGAGACTTTCTCCTATAGCTGAGACCATAGGAAAACGAGGCTGGTCAACTACTCGCTGTAGCACATATGCTCCTGTGCATTCGTTGGCTTCTAAGAGGTCACAAAATTTCTCCTTTGTCGGGATGTCAGTCCCAAATACTATCCCTTTGCCCTTTCCACTGGCGATAGGCTTCAACACCCAATTGTCCTTTGACTCTTTACCGTTGCGCAGCTTTTCAATTTCCTGTAGCATGTTCCTTGACTTCGCTATGTAAGTTTGTGCTAAACCCTGGCTTAGGCACTCTGATTGTGTATGTGAAAGAACCCTTCGCTTGGACACGAGATTATCCAACTCGGAAAGGATAATAGCAAGCATGCGTTTGTCATGTGCCAGGAAAATACTGCGAAGATCATTCACCGAGCGCAAGGCGAGTTCTTCCAATACATCCTTTGGTAGGTTGATCAACTGTGCCTGGCGTGCCTCGATGACTATAAGATCGATTTGCATCCTTGTGTGTGTTTCGTCCTGGTGAAAGAGGTCCGAGGCCGACGTAGTTGCGACGAGCTTGCGCCCTGACGCAGAGTTGGGATCGTGTTCAACACTAAGGTGTTCCGGTCGAACAAATCGAGCCTCACCCAGCCCTTGTTTTCGGAAATAGGAGCTCATGTTGATGAGGTCCACATGCTGGATATTTTCACCATGCAGAAACCAAATTACTTTGTATGGGGAAAACTTTCTTTCGATGACTGAGTCAACCTTAGACGCAGAAAACATTAGCCATTGCCCAACTCGTGATATCATCAAAAACTCACTTTTCCGACTGTTGTCTGGAAGATAGCATGTTCGGACATGTGTCTCGAATGAAAAGTCTCCAAGGTAGATGCGACAATATAGCCGCTCAGAGGATAGCGGCAATTGATCTCACACACCTTGAATGGCCCGAAATCGCTGGCTTTGGTGGACGTCTTGTTGAAAGCGCTTGGATTGTCGCTGATCAACACATCAGGTCTCCAAAAGCCACTAATCTTTCGAAATTGTCCCTTGGGGCCCTTTCTTTCGCTGATCCAGCGAAGTACCGCCTCTGCTCTAGGGTCTAATGGCATTCGTTCCCAGAATCTTGCATCCGAATCATCCCACCATCTATCGATGATATCACATACAGCTAAGTGAATACTCTCGCATAGTTGCTGCAGCTCGCTCATACGACTCTTTGGCAAGAAGATGGGGACTGGTTGAGTGGCCTCAGCTAGACCGGCAGGCCAGGGGCCTGAATCTCGAAAGACTGTCTGTAACGCACTCCCATCCACTATCGAAGATATGGAATCGTGGTTGTCGTTCAATCTAGCGCGATCAGGTGAGGTAGTGGAAAGATTAACTTGAACAAACTCAGGAAGATCCATAATGAATGTGCAAAGAACATATGATTTGATACGAATTCTGAATCTGAGACAAGATTGAAAGCAGATTTCAGATTTCGACTAACAGGAGTGCGATGGCCGTCCCTCCCCCACCCCGCCAAAAAAAAAAACCTGTATAGTTTTTATTAGTCATTAAGCCCATCATCAACTAACTCAGGGATCTCTGACAATAGCGCAGGACTTGGAGATGTGAATATGCCGCGTAAGCTTCCTCGGATATGCAAACATGTCGGCCCGTATTTGTTCGGTGCTAATTCCTGAGGCTTGCAACATAACAATCCTGCAGGTGACATTGCATCACTAACTAAACTAAGTAACCCAGCGGCATACTACAATATGCATCAACCATTGCTTTCCTTTTACGGACATGGCGCATATTTGATGGGAATAAATTCGGCAATCAATCCTCACTTCTGATATTCCTCGCCCATTCAAGCTTGACCCACGGTGCATTTTCTAAATACTTTGTTCAAAATGGATTCCAACTCAGCAATCAGTCAATCGAGCCTCCCGCCGCAGATCAATCAATACCGGGGACCTTACAAGCTGGAACAGATATTAGCTGTTGCAGGAATACATCCGTTCTATTCCGATAGCCGAAGCTCAGCACCTGGATATGAAGAAGTGGCCAAGGCACTAAAGGCCACTCCCGGTTCCCCTACAACCTTGCAAAGTTTGCCTATCATTAAAAAGGAAAGGCTTGCTGAAATTACCAGGAAAATGAGCCGGAACACTACGGAAGGCAGATCGTTCCGAAGCGGAGCTATCATTGGTATCACGGGAGGCGGCAGCGGAAAGGGCGATCCCATGCCCTTTTTTACTGATGCACAAGAAACTAGAGCTATTCGAGCGTTTGCTGGACACCTCCTAGTCCAGTGTGGTATTGCAGGTGATGGCGATTTAGCCATTGTACTGAACACCACCGGAAATTTGTACAGGTGAGCATTTCTACCCACACTTTCGAGGTTTCATTCCACTAAATAGTTCAGATCATTGAGCATTGTATCGGAGACCTTAGAACATGCGGGAGTGTCTACACTGATGGCCGGACATAGTATGGATCCAGACCGTCTCGTCAGGACTTGTCAGCAGCTGCAACCCAACGTCCTTGCTGGGGCCCCCAGTCAGTTAATTCAGTTTGCGCGTCACGTTTCGAAAACGCACGCCAGTATCCATTTCGATAAAATAATATACACGTCGGAGATGCTTCCAGTTCAGCAGCAAACTTACCTCAACCAAGTGTTCGGGGGTACTCGCGGACCGTTATTCTATGGAGCCATCTATGGAAGCGCCGAGGCAGGACCATGGGCCGTCGCCAACCACACGTTTACCGGTCATCATGCAGAGTTTGTGGACCTGATATACGACGAACGAGCGATGATCGTTGAAATTGTGCCGGCTGCATCAGAAACCGCCGATCAAGGTAGAGGAAACCAGCTCGTCGATACGGTCCCTCATGGCACTGCTGGCATCATTGTCCTCACCTCTCTTCAAAAGCTGCGCCACCCACTAGTCCGATATTATACGGGAGATATAGGCTCCTTGCATGATGCAACTCCCGAGATACGCGCCTCTGTTGGTGATGGTGCTGGGAACCTGAGAATTCTGCGATTCTATGGACGAGATCGTGCGGAATCCTTCAAATGGCAAGCAAACTTTTATGAGATCAGAGCTGTTGAAGAGGTCATGAATACAGCCAACTGGGGTGTTTTTGATTGGCAGATTGTTCTCTACATCAACAAAGACACTGGAGAGCATACCATGGAGGTGAAGGTTATACGGGAGGAGCAGTCAGCGGCCATCTTGACCCAATCACAACTCAGATCTGAGCTTTCGGCATTTTTCAATGTGTACCCGAAGGTTGATCACCTTTTTCATCTCAGATCGGTTGGACTAAGAGACATGGTGCGGAGTGAGACGGCTGGCAAGATCATCCGATTGGTTGACCACACAAAATAGGAATTCATGGAGCTGGAAGGAGGCTATGTGCATTCGTATTGGAGCGTGGGGGATGGGGGAGAAAGGCCGCATTACAGGAGGAATGGGAAGCATACTGTGTCTTGTCGTCAAGATGGACATGGTAAGCTTCACCCCGGTTGCATTAGTCGTTTGAAATTGAAGTTATCGGGTTCCTAAGTGTGAATCTACAAGATGCATAATTCGGTCTTTTCTCGGCGCCGAACAAGTCCGAGACTGCTGAAGGGTGCCCAAACTGAGTTAATGTTGTTATGATCCATGCGTTCAAACACGCGGTGAGACCTCAAGACCTATGCCAACTGTTGGCTATGTCTCATACAAACACTTTCCGCAGATCGCCAGGACTTCAAGACGGGCCGTATCACAGTCTAGGGGTCTTTCTTAGGGATGCTAGCACGGGCAACTCGGATACATGCATGCCCCTTGTATTCCATACGTCAAAGTCAACAAAATCCACATAACAGTCAGTATAGCCATTTCTGCACTATCCGATTGGTGTGCTCAATGGACCTGATTCTAGTGCCTCCCATGTCGAAATGGCTGCCAAGATCAGCCATGTTGGGCCGAGCTTCCGCGATGCAATGACTGGCAAAGAGGGCACCCACATAGCCTTTTGAGGGGTTTACAGCGCAGAGAACTGGGCAGCTACGAGTCAGACAAGTGAGTCGACTCGGTAGAAAGTATGACCTTTTACTGCGCTATAATTCGCGTATTCTTAGGAGAAGCGTATGCACTTCCTATATTTGTCGTGTTTAATCCTGTGACAGGCTAGGGAAGTTCCAACCCCGTTTTCTCATCATCGTGATGGCCATACCAATGTCAGGCGTCCCAGCTGAAGCCGCAAGACGCATTGTGGAATCTTTTCTTGATGACGATCTTGATCCAAAGCTTAACCTCGCTACGTAAGTTAACACTATTTTGTGTCATTCCCATCAATAACTTCTTAAGATTCTCTACCACTGGTTTTGATGAACTGCCGGTCGATTTATTATGCGAAACGTTGCGGAAGAACATGTCAAATCAACACGAGTATAAGGGTATCACGAAGTGCGTAGGTCCAACATAAGGGTAGTTTTGGAATGTTAGCTGATGTTGAAAGGATTCATCGAGAGTGTGCAAACATCCTTGCAGCACTCTGGAATGGTGGAGAAAATGGAGAGAGACCAGTTGGCAGTGCTACGACAGGCTCCTCTGAAGCTCTCATGCTTGGATGCCTGGCTATGAAGAAGCAGTGGCTAAGCAAAAAACGTGAAGAAGGAGCTGACACATCTCAGCCAAACATAATCTTCAGTTCTATTGCTCACGTGGTCTGTGCCAAGTTCTCTCAGTACTTCGATGTTGAGGCACGAATACTTCCAGTCACACAGGAGGCAGGGTATGTTATGGATACCCAAGATGCTGCTGCGATGGCCGATGAAAACACTAGTAAGTCATTTATAACAAATCTGCAGTAGTGCCTTTTGTGATCTCGATCAATATAGTTGGGATAGTTGCTGTTCTTGGGAGCACCTACACCGGTCACTATGAGCCTGTTCAACAACTTTCATACGCCCTTGATGATCTACATTCTCAAAAAGGGCTAGATATCCCAATTCATGTCGACGCTGCTTCTGGAGGTCTTGTAGCGCCCTTTGTTCAATCGAACTTGACATGGTGAGCTTCCCTCGCTTTGTGTCATTCTGCACGTATCACGTAACTCAAACATATCAAGGGACTTCAAACTCAAGAGAGTCCACTCCATCAATACATCTAGTCATAAATTTGGCCAAGTCCCAACCTCGCTTGGATGGGTGTGTAGCCGCAATACACTGATTCGAGAGAGTATCGGCTGATTCTCTCACAGATCGTGTGGCGCGACAAGAGTTGCATTCCTCGGGAAATGATATTTGATATTGAATACCTCGATCAAATGTATCAGTCCTGGACCTTGAGCTTTTCTAAACCAAGTTTCCAGGTGGTCCTACAGTATTACAACTTCGTTCGAAACGGATTCGATGGTTCTGCAGAAACTATCCAAGACTGCATGATCCGTGCCAGGGATCTAAGTATCATCCTGGAAGACTCTGGGAGATTCAAGTGTATCACAAATATTCCCAGGTGCGAAGAAACGAAACAAATTACCAACGGCACTCGCACACCAGTTCCCTTACGTATTCGCCAGCATGTCCATGGAAACACGACCAATGTATCCAAAACTCATAATCAGATACAAAGCAATTCCTCTGGACTACCTGTAGTCGCATTCACTTTCAGCGAGGGCTTTCTGTCCTCGAATCCTAGAGCACAACTTTCTGTCATCTCAGAATGCCTTCGCAATCTTGGATATTCTGTTCCTTGTAGGTACACTTCTGTAAAAATAGATAATGGAAGAGCTAAAAGTACAAAAGACTGCAACATACCCCTCTTCAATAGACCACTTGGAGTACTCCGTATAGTTATCAGGCCTGATATTAAACAACATATCCTTGATCGGTTTATAGTAGATCTGGACAATTGCGTTCGAGGATCATACCCCCCGGATATCAGTTCTGCGATGTATTAAATGTTTAGTAGTTAATGCAATGAAGGATAGAAGAGAAGACAAATATAGTGTACTTCTACCTCGAGTAGTGATCTAACCTTCGCTAAAGATAAGCTCGTCGCTCTCAGTGGCATGGCGAGGACCATGCAGCGCATTCTCAAAGACGGATATGTTGGGGGCCTTTGGGAAAAAGACTTCGTATTCCATTTGACATGGAGTGCACAACGACGGAATACCACTAAAAATAAACGACCCAAGGAATATCTCGCACCGTCTTGGTCCTGGGCATCTATGAACTGTATAGTTAGGTATCTGGAATGGTGGAAACCATAAATCACGAGGGTCAAGTCATTCGCAACCTTAAAACAAATATACATATCGAGCACGTTGGAGCTGACCCGTTTGGGCAAATTACATCCGGCCATGTTTTTCTAACAGGTCCACTGGCGGAGGTCGAATTGAGCAAAGAACTCGAACATTTACCACCATGGACACAAACTTGCTGCATTCAATGATCCCGATGATTGGCCACGCGACGACGGCGACGAAGACGACGTAAACTTGATATTGCTCGGATTGTATTCAGTCTCTGCTCCATTGTCATTAGAGGAGTACTTTGAAGCCACTGGGATCTTGCTGAAAAAGGTTCCAGGGTCAGCAACGACGTTTTCGCGTGTAGGATCTTGTTGCATATTTGACGCCAACAAACATCCCATTCCTGACTTTGAGGGTAGATTGAACACCGAGCACTCATCCACAAATTCAAAGAGCTTCATATCTGGATTAGCGCGGCCAATGAGAATCGGCTCTTTGCCTGACGAATTCTTCGATCCTGAACGCGGATATACCATCACAATCATCTGAATCCACAGAAAATAGCGTGTCAATACCGAGTTATGCTTGCTAACAACCATATGTCAACACTTGCTTGCGTCCACACTGTCTTACAGACTCGGAGACTATCGTATCCGCGCCATCACTATACCACTTCACACTCGGAGGCTATCGTCCTCATGCGTTCCTTACATAATTCTCTCTGGCTAGCCAGCGCGTGGCAAAAAGTCCCATGGACACAACACACAAACATCGATCCTGGCACAACAGCACAAAAGCACTGCCAAACAATCTCACCAACAGCCGTAGCACATCTAGCCAGCAACACGCATATGCAACCAAGGCCACACTACTAACGCTACTCGCAACGATTGAAGCACATATCAAAGCAACAGATCCAAACATCCTCACTCTGATCGTTGTACATCATTTTCCAAGCAAACACCCGATCAAAATCCCAGCATGCCTCACATCTCCTTCGCTAGAACATCAATCCACAACAAAACCCCTGACATCCGACCCCAAACTCCACCGCTATAATGAGAGCCCACCCCCTATCCTCCCTCGACCTCCAATCGCACATGCGCAACTACGGCCGCTACATCACCATCTTCCCCTTCCCGTACCCTCACCGCGCCGACGCCGTATATCGCGCCCTGTGCACGAGGCTGACTGCAACGTTGAAGAAGTTTCCGTTCTCTAGTGGGATGCTGGATGTGCATAAGGGAGAGTTGAGACTGCTTTATGACAGCGAAGCAACGGAGGAAGAAAGGGTGGATGAAAGAAGCATGTAGGATTCTCAACGCCGAGTTTGTGAATATGGTTATGGGAATGGGGCATGAGGAACTCTCAGCAAAATTCTTCGATCCCTCACTACTCATCCCATCCTTCCTCCAGTACCACCACGGCCTCGACCCCAACGACTCCTACGCCACCAGCCCAACCCCCTTTTATCAAAACACCCCTCTGCCAGTTGTGGCCACCTAAGCCGCATTCATTCACGGTGGCATGATATTGAGCGTGTGGATGCATCACTGCGTGGCTGATGGCACAGGTTTAACTCGGTTCTACAAGGCCTGGAGCTCGAACACGCGAGAGTTGACGGGCAGTATGGATGCGAAAGCGCAGGATAGAGAAGGCGGGAATGTGGCATATGCGTTGGATGAATTAGCCAAGTCCTCTCCTCCCGAGACGATGACTAGAACTTTTACCCACGAGTACAAGCACACCGAGAAACGTGGAGTATGTTATTTCGATGAGGACTTTTTGCGCTTCCAAGCGAGCCGCATATCCTCCTTCTCATCTACCCTCTTCCACCCCTTTCAGCCCACATATCCCCCTTGACCGCCCTAATCTCCCTCCTCTGGTCTCGAATCCTCCTCTCCCACCCCTGTTCGCCGCCCCCCCCCCCCCTCCCCATTTCCATCCACCCTCGCCATCGTAGTAAACCTACACCCCCACCTCGGCCCACCCTTCACACATCCCTCATACGTGGGAAACTGCGTTCTGAGCGCCCGATCAATCACCCCTTGCCCCCCTACCGCTTCGATACCAGAGCTTGCAGGATTGATTGCTGAATCTCTGCGCGAGTTTACGAAAGAACATATCGCCGCACGATTGGCGATGTTGAGGGCTGATCCAGGGGTGATCGATAACCAAGATCTGAGATTCGGCAGTGGAGGGCGGGATTTGTACACCACCGACGTGCGACGGCAGGGTGCTGGGCTGGACTGGGGGATTCTGGGGAAAGCGAGTGCGATTCGAAGGATTGGGTGGAAGGGCGAGGGGGGGGGATGGTAGTTTTGCCGCGGACGCAGGGCGGGAAGGGGGATTAGGACGTTACGATTTGTCTTCAAGAGAGTGTTGTGATAGGGGTGGAGGAGAGGATGGGGGGCGGTGGACTGTGTTGTTGGTTTCATCGCTCTGGGCGCTGAATGTCCGTTCTTCACTGGCTCCAAATGCCTTGGAAGGGTTGGAATGATGGAGTTGTCTGCCTTCTGCGCGGGCTTTTATCCGGTCGGCGAGCGTCCAAGGAGCTGCAACCGCTGAGGTGGCGAGCGCTGCCGTCAGGAAAGCAACGGAGAACTTCATGATGGCTTAGTGATGGTACTAGAGTAGATACAAAGAATATCTGGAGATCCAAAGGTAAGAGAATAGACCAGCTCTGGACTCTACCGGTAGTAGAGGAGATAGACCAGTGGTGCTTGCACTCCTTTATATCTGCATCCTCGCAACTCGCGTATACATCCTCGCAGATAGACTTCTGGTACTCTAGCACCATGGCAAATCTACAGTGGCCAATGATACCTTCCTGATAATATTTAGCTTGATGCAAATCCCCTGAAAACCCACTCGACTTCCAGGCTCAAGCTTGGAAAATATACTGGCACTTACGGAGCGCTAGTGTTCCGTGAAGCTACTCATGCCTTCCTAGTCTTGTGTATGTCGAGACAGCAAA